GTCCTTCAGCGTCTGTTGCTCTGTCCTTTCCCCCCCCCCCACCCCCTGCTCCCATACTCACCTTTGACCGTGTGTCTCTCCCCAACTCTCGACGAACAGACACCCGCACAAGGAGCACACAGTCAACAGCATTCAGTGCGCTGTGTCTTGGCTTTTTTTTTTTTCTTTTTCAAACTTTTTTTTCAAACTTTTTTTTTTTTTCGTTTGCTCAAAAACCCTGCCGTCCGCCGTGCGACCGAGTGCCAGTCCCCTCCCTGCGCTTGCAGCCAGCATGGCCAAGTCCTCCACAGCGTCGGTAGCGGGCACGGACGGCGGTGGCGGAGGAACGCCGCCCGAGCTGCCAGACAGCGCCACCGCCGCCGCCACGCCAGCAGCAGCAGCAGCTCTAACGCCTAGCGCGCTGGTGCAGCAGCTGCATGCGCAACAAATGCTTGCAAACAACAGGCAGCCCCCTTCGACCCCAGTCGGTGCTGGCGCTGGCAAGCAGGGTCCTCCGTCAAGTGGCAGCCGGTCCAAACCACGAAACAGCGCCAGCACGAGCAGCAGCAACACCAGCAAGCCAAAACGACCGCGCTCAGGCGCCAGTGCTTCCAAAGCACCCGGTGCGGCCGCTGGCAAGTCCGGCACGGCGGCGCGAAAGAGTGGGCCAGCTGGAACGTCTGCCCAGCCATGTGCAGTAAGTTTTTTTTGTCGCCCTTCCTTGCGTGTACCACAATGACATATGAACCTGGGTGCTGAGAGTGGTGTTGTGTGGTTGTTGTTGGATTCGAATTCCATGGGACGAGGACAGGCCGGGGGTGGAGTTGCAAACACTTTTCGACATTGAACGCCGTCGCGTCGTCGCGTCGCTCTGTCCCACCGCCGCCGTGTTGCATGATTGTAGTACACGAAATCGACTCGCTGTAGGGTCTACTCTGTTTGCTCACACAAAAACCAACCACCTGCCTCCTCTTAGGAAAACTCGGACGATGAGCAGGCAGAAGATTCCTTCCAAGGCGAATATGTCACGCGCTGCATCTGTGGATTTAGCCACGACGATGGTTTTATGATTTGCTGTGATCGATGTGAGGTTTGGCAGCATCTTGATTGCATGGGTCTCAAGTCTGGACGACTGCCCGAGACGTACTACTGCGAGCACTGCTCGCCCCGTGATGTGAATAAGAGTCGCGCCATGCTCTTGCAGATGCGAAAACGCGAGTCGATGAATTCCAGCGATCTCTCGGACGACGAAGGCAGTGCTGTGCCACCACCACCACCGTCAAGCCGATCAACGCCCGGCAATGCTTCTCGCCAGCGAAGTTTGAGCACGACTGTGGTTCCAGTCGTCGTCGCCGCCCCTCCTCCTCCTCCTCCTCCCTCGGATTTTGCGTCCCGGTTGCTACGGCCATTGCCGAACGGCCATCATTCACCCACCGTCAACATTGAAGACGACGTGGATGATTCACCGTCCGCTGCCGATGCTCCTCAGCCGGATCTGACGTCTGGAGCGGACGTCACTCCTCTTGTTAACTCATCTACGACAGTGCCTCCACCCCGGCTCTCGTCAGCACTGGCCAGCCGGCTGACGCCGCTCGTGATTCCCCCATCAACAACCTCCAAAGAGCTCTCGAGCTTATCGACGGCAAACTCAACCGACTCTGTCTCACCCTCGGTCGGCGAGTTGCCGCGCATGGAAATGTGCTGGGAGGCCCTCCCTTCCAACCCATTTAATGCGCTTCATCAGTCAATCCAGCAGTGCATCGTTGAAAATGAAGATGCACGGGCCATTCTGGCAGACGAGGTGGCTCGCCTCGATGCGGAGCGCCACGCCAGCCGTGTCAATGTCACTACTGATAAGACTAGCCAAGCGCCGTCGACCGAATCCATGGAGACTGACGCGCAAGCGACTGCGGCTGCGCAAGGCGTGTCTGAGCCGCAAGTCATTCTTCCTCGTGACGCCAGCGACGTGGAAACAGTGCTGCTGGACGCGAGTCAGTACAATCCCGTGTCTAGCACTCTTTTTTGCAATGGTGCGCCAGCGCCAGTACTATCCATCGAGCCTGTTGGTCCCAACCAGCAACGAAAAGGCGTGCTTGTTGCGGACAATGTCTCGGTTGGCCGTTTCCTTTGTGAGTTCCTGGGCGAAATCACAACACCTGCGGCAGCGTTGCACTGCCATGAAGCGGCTTTGGCCCAGTTGCGTTCAGAACTCGTCTCTTTTGCGCCGCAACACGCCGAGCTTGCCGACTCGATTTCCCCCAGCTCTGTTCCTCTCCCGTACGCCCTCTTCCATCCACGATTGGGTCTATGTATTGACGCCACCCGTCATGGAAATGATGCCCGATTCATCCGACGCTCGTGCACCCCTACTGCGCAGCTGAAACAACTATTAGTGGTGGGCGATTTCGCTCCCGACTCGTCCACCGCCTTGCCCAACCGCCTGCATTTTGGCATTTTCGCCGCGTCCGACATGGTCAAAGGCGCGGAAGTCACCCTCGCGTTCGACTTTCCGGTGGACGATGCGCGCTTTCCTGTCGAGTGTGCGTGCACGTCGGCCAATTGCGCCATGTCGGATTGGCGGCAGCGCATGCTCGCCGAACGTAGCTTTCCTGGGTTGATATCAAGCCAAGATGCTTTGCAACGAAAACGCAGGGCGTCAGTCTCGCAAGATGACCAGCAGGTGCTAAAGCGAATGCGCATGATTAGTGAAACGGGCACCGAGCTCGACGCCGATGCCAACAAGTCTGCTGCTTTGGACGCTGAACTCGTCAAATCCGAGCCATCCGACTCGGCTCCCATGGATACTGCAGACCACGCTCTGGTGTCTTCGCAAGACGCTTCGTCCCAACACGAGTCGTCGGCGCCTTCCAGCGCGGTTCCTGTCATTGAGACGCGCAGTCCGCTGCTCGACATGGATCCGAAAAAGATGACGCGAGAGGAGCGCAAAATGTACGCCCTGCTCAAGCAATTCGAAAAGGTCGAGGCCAAGCAGCAGGCGGCCAACAAGAACGCCGCTGGCTCGACCACTCCGACGCACAACGGCCACGCTGCTGCCATGCGTCGCACCTCGACGACGGCATCACCAGCGCCCCAGCGCAAGCGTGGCGCTGAAGCTCCCGCGACGCCGCAACAGGCCCCGGGTGCCTCAGCCCCGCCAATGACCCCATCCGATGCCGAACTCAATCGCAAGCGTAGCCACACCGCCATGGCGCTGCCATCGGGAACGTCGGCCCCACCGACTCCGCTCGCTACGCCAAGAGCAACGTCCCGTTCACGACTGCCTTCAGTCGACGCCAGTAGCAGACCACTCGTGCTGACGGTGGCCATGTTGAACGCTGACACCTCGCTCTTCCCAGTCATCGAAACGGACAGTCCTCCGTGCACGCCCACGCGCGCCCGTGTGCTTCAGCTCGCGCACATGTCGCCCGCTGCAGTGGGCGTCTCTTCGGCCACGTCAACCTCGACTCCAGCGACGCTCTCAGGCAGCATTTCGCAGTCTGTGTTTGCCTTCCCTGCTAGCAGCACCGCTGCTCCCACCGCCAACGCAGTGGAAGCCGGCGTCACAAGCTCTCGGGAATCCCCAGCGCCACTCGTCGCTGCTCGCTTTGGCAAGAAGGCGTGGGCTCGCGAGTTTGCCGCGACCGAGCAGAACGGCAGCGTGCCTTCCCCGCTCGCCTCGCCGTCGGTGAGTGGCTCGGGCCTGTCCACCCCCGTTGCCACGCCGCTCAGCCTCAAGTCCGACATGGTTCAGCCATTGTTTGAGCATCACCATTTCCCTTTGGTGCCCGTGCACGAGCTCCTCGCCAATCCTGCCTCCCCCGCAGGCCGAGGCAAGAAGGCTTGGCTGCGAGACTTTCTTGACAAGGACACTGCCCCGCCGCGAGTGGTGCCGACCTCGCTCTCCATGACGTCTGGGCTGCCCTCGCTGCCGTTTGCAATGGAGGTCGAGTCATCGTCGTCGACCTCGACGCTTCCTTTGCCGTTGAGCAGCAGCTTTGTGGTTGCCGATGCCTCGCAATCACTCGGCGCGTCCTCGATGAATGTCGTCGCCCCGCTGGAAAGCAGCAGTGGTAGCAGTATCCTCTTGCAAGCGTCATCATCAGTGGCCGCCGCCACTCCACTGGTCGCGTCGCAGCCGTCCAGCTTGGAGCCACCATCGAGCGTCGATCTCACCAACAACCTGCCACAGCAAGGAGAGGTGCACAGTTTGGCTCCTACTCAATCACTTCCGAGCAGCTTGCCTGATACGCTCGCCGCTGCCAGCGCTCCAGTCGTATCTTTGGATGGCTCTTTTGCTGCAGATGCGGCTTTGTCCGCACCGCGGGCGGCGCCCAACACCCCGACCAAGAAGAAGCTCAATCTTGGTGACTACTTTAAGCGCAAGTCTGCCCCCGGTGAAACCCCGCTGGAGACGCCGTCGTCCGAATCCCTTCCGCCAGTGTTTCCACCATCCGCTTCGCTCAGTGCAAGTTTGCCGGTTGTTGCAGAGGCCGCTGTACCGCAGAGCGTTGCCAAACAGGCTTTGCCACCGTTGCCTGCTGCTGTGGTTGCGCCAACCAACTCCATGGTGATGGTTGAAGATGCTGCTGCAGGAGGAGCAGGTGCCAGCTCGCTTGACCGGTCTACCATCTCACTCGGCCAGCCAACCATGCCGCGACCTGGCGCCTCTGCTGCACTCGAGTCCAACGGACTTGACCATTCCAGTATCAACATTCTCGAGCGTATGCATCAGCCATTGTCTGCAGCGCCGCCCTCCACGCTCTCCGCGACTCCATCCGCCTCGGCGCCATCCTCTGCAACGTCCGCCTCCTCCACCTCGACGTCCGCCGCTCCGGCCGGCATGAGCAACGTGTTTGCGGGCAGCGGCTTTGGATTCCCGTCGTTTGGAGCCTTCCAATCAGCGCCTGCTCAAGCCCCGCAGCAACAACCGCGGCCTTCTGGTCCATCTGGTCCTTCGACTCCTGGCCAACAGCCTGCCTTTGGTGCGCCCTTTATGAATGCTGGCATGCCGACCGGGTTCCCTCCTTCGTCCCACCCCATGGCTATGAACGCCTTCAACCAAGGTCCGATGCCAGGCCAGCCGCCGGCGTTTGGCATGCCCATGAGCGCAGGCGCGCCTGGCCATCATGGCTGGCAAGGCCACCCGCAGCAGCAACAGCCGCACAACATGCCGCCCTTTGACTGGAATGGCAGCGGCCGAGGTGGAATGGACCACCGTGAAGCCGGTCGCGATTTCAATGCAGATCGTGCCGATTCCTATCGTGGCGGGCGTCCATCCTTTGATCGCGACTTTCGAGGCGCTCCTCGTGGGCGCCCGTACCATGGCAACATGCCCTACTCGCGCGACTCGGTCGAGCGTGATCGCGATCGGGACCAAAGAGAGCGTGAGCGCGATCGCGATCGTGAACGAGACATGCGGGATCGGGATCGCGAGCGTGAATTGCGAGAGCGCGACCGCGAGCGTGTTTGATTCTTGCCTCGTGTCGCGTTGGAGCCAGTGCTCTCGTTTGTGAGCATTTTCGTTCGGTTTTTCTCGTTTATTTCTGTGTTCTTGTGTTCTTGCCTTTTTTTTTTTTTTTTTTTTTTTTTTTCTTCCTCTTCTTCTTCTTTTTTTCGTATACTCTTTCTGATTTCCATCAACGGTTTATTTCCCCTTTCTTGCTTGTTATTTTTTTTTCCTTTGTTGTTTGTGTGCGTATGCGTGTGTGTCTTGGTGCTCGATCTCATTGTCATGCAATTGCTTCATTGCGTTAATATCTACGAATCTTTGCATTTACAACTTTTTTTTTTCATCATTGTTACAACAATAGCTTTTGGCATTGGGCTCGTTCAACAAAACACCAAACCAAACTACTTGCGCCAGTACTGGGCCCACTTGTGAATGGTCTCGGAAATCTGCGCAAAGAGCGCGCTAACGCTCTCGTCGATCAGCTGTTGGAAGAACTGCACGGCCTGCTCGTCCGATAGCTGGAGTTGGAACTTTTCCTGGACCTGATCAAGTTGATCAAGCATTTCAGAGATGTCAAGAAAAATGAGAACGAAAAACCAAACCACCAAACTCCGCAAACGGGAGCGCAGCACCAAACACTGGTTTGTCATGTACCCACCTTCATTACGGCCTTGTCTGGCTCGTTGGCAATGTCAGGTACGCTTGAGTCAACCATCAGAGTGAACAAGTTGAGAATGAGGTTGGAGGACTTGCGTAGAATCAGGAAGGCGTTGTAGCAGTGCGCCAAAAACTTTTTGTAGTGCACGGAATTGGCACCACCCATGCCTTCAACCATTTCCTTGGCGAGCTTCATTGGCGGTGGGAAGGGCTTCGGGTCGCGCCCGAGAATGTAACCAAAGTCAATGTGGAGCAGGTTGCCAGACTCGCTCAGCAGCAGATTGTCGAGATGACGATCGCCAATGCCAAGAAGATACGTAATGACGCAGTACCCGGCCATACTCTTGACGTACGTGTCCATGACCTCCTGCGACACGGAGCTGTCCGACTTGCGCAAGTACGCCTGGATGGAGCCGTGTTTTTCAAGCACAGCCGCGACAGGCATGGCGTTGACGAACTGGACCAACCCGTTCTCGCTGCTCGTGGCCAACACCTTGTAGGGTGTGAGCTTCAGGTCCAAGTTTTCCTTTCTGAGAAGCCGGTCCATCAGAGAAATGATTTGGAGGATGAGTTGGTCTTGGCGCAAATCGTCGCCCGATTTGAAAAGGGTCTGTGGCGCGGGCATTCCCAAAAAAAAAGGGGGGGGAAAGGATTTGGGGAGGAGGGGGAGGTAAAGTGTGTTTCAAGTCAAACATGAGCCATTCAAAAAACGATGCAGTGCAACAACCACACGCAAGGGTTGATTGATAACGTACGACATATTGCTGGTTGTCCTCGGTCAGGAAGGTAATGCGCAAGGGTGTCAGCGCACTCTTAAACATGGACGCGTTTGAAGCCATGATGCCCACCACTTTGACACGGGGATCGAGGGGGAGGGGCAACGGATCGAAATGCAGCAAATCCGAGCGCTCGCTCAGGATGGCAACCAATCGGGTGATCTGCGACAAAATTCAAACAAAACAAACAAAAAACATTTCAGCCAACAAGACTCGGAAGCAGCCAACAGGGAGAGGACAGAGAAAAAGGTGCCAAACCTTTTTGTCTCGTGATTCTTTGGTCGCCTTCAAATCTTTGTAGATGGTGACGAGAGAAGTCACCAACCGTTCTTGGCGGTTGAGTATACTGACAACGGAGCGCTTTGAAGGATCCTGCAATGGTTTTCACGACATGTAAGCTTTTGTTTTTTTCGTTTTGGCTTGGCTTCAACAAACTTGGAGCACTCACCCGCATCAGTGTTTTGCGCAAGTCCGCAGACGCGGCGCGGTAAATGCGGCCATGCTTGGCATCTTCAAACTCGACAACAAAGTACCTGTTGAATGGAAAAGTGCCGGGATTGTCAGAGAAGCATCCGAGCGGCTAGCCACACAAAACAAAGCAACAACAAAAACTCACCAATACAAAAATACGGCAAGCTCGGTATTTTGGACTGCACGGGAGATGAGAAAGCGCACAAGAGAGGATTGATTCATGACGGAAAACTGGGAATCGTCGTCAGACTTGTCGCCGAAATTGGATTCAGAGTCCGGGTTGCTGGCGTCCAGCGCAGCCTGCGAGTTGGCACCGCTGCCAATGGTGTTGGTCAGAGGCACATTGGCTGCAGCAAGGTTGTCCTCGAGGGTGGAGGAACGCGAATCAAGCACAATGCCTTCAAACTTGACAGCCTGCACGAGCTGAAGCAAGTAGCTCGTCAGGTCATCGTCAGCGGCGCGCTCTAGGCGAGTCACGGCATATTCGCGCACAGCTGGCTCGGTAAATTGCGAGGACAGCAGCTCGAGGGCATCGTCGATATCGATCGGATCCCACAAGGCCAGCAACGTGGTGGCCTGCTTGATCTGGTCGGATTCAAGCCAATCAACGGCCTTCAAGAATTTGGTCAGCGCTCGCTTGTCACGGGCCAGATGGTACCGGAATCGCCATAACAAATCCTTTTCGTCGCCCACCAGGACTTTTGTTGGAGGGTATTTGACCAGCATCTGCGGCAAAGAGGGGGAGGGAGGGCGAAACCAACATTAGTAACACGGATGCAGCCGACAACCATCAACTAAACACACAAGGAGACGAGTGAAACAAAAAAAAAAGAAAATGACGTACAAACAAAGTATCGCGAATGTGGGCGTTCGGCTTGAGTAAACGATCCAGCGGTCCATGGCGGTGGTTGCGTGTTAGTTTTTTGTGTTTGGCTTCGACCAAATTGTCACGATGGAGGTCTGGATCATGCACAAAGCTCACGTCTGCCGATACTGGCGGCATGGTGTAGCGTTCATCGGCGTCCTGTTTTGTTTGGGGGGAGGGGGTATTTCAATGAAATAAAGATGAACGAAACGAGTCGAATCATCAACCAAAACAAAAAAAACCAGCAAGCGTCAAGAAAAGAGTCATGCAGGTACCGTTTCATGGTAGACGATGGCATGATTGAAACGAGGAAACTCAATGTAGAGGAATGTCTCGCGGGATGCGTTGGACATGCGCTGTGGAATTGAACAAGGAAAACAAAGTGTTTGCCGCATGATGGCATGGTGGTGAGTGAAAGCATAATTGGGGACGCCTTTGAAAGCGCAGACGCGCAGCAACAACGAGCTCTTCACCTGCTGGACTTGGGCGATCGCCTGCCACGCAGCACTATCCAGCCAATCGATTCGGTCCATTTCGTGGCGTTGATACTTTTTGATCAGCTGTGTCGCCATTGCCAAACCAGCCAACGCCCAATCGACAAGAAAATGGCAACCAACGAGAACAAACGGAGAACAAAATACCAAAAAACACAAAAACGTCAGCAAACCCACACAAAAACCAACGAATAAAACATGGACAATAGGTTCGTACCGACTCGAGCCGGTCACTCTCGTCGACATCTCCTTGCTTGGCTGGTGTGGTTGTGGGGTTTTTGCCATCGGCTTCGACGTAGGGCCAAAGATGCAGCCTGTGATTTGCTTTTCGGAGTGTGCCGTTCCTGCCAAAGAGGGAAATGGTGCTGCCGCCAATCGGAATGATGCGGCGTGGTGCGAAGATGTCCCACACAGTGATGGCAAGCACCGAGTCGCGTGGCAGATCGCGGTACGCGATGGGAAGCGTTAGCCATTCGTTCCATCTGCACGAGGAAAAGGCCAACAAAACAGGTAAGAATCGAGAGACGAGAACAACGATCGCCACACAGAAATCCTCCATCGCAGTTCATCGGCATACGCAATTTCGTTTGAAAACGCCTTGAATCGCGTTTTGGAAGACAGACCGAGCGGCTTGCCTTCCGAGAACACTTGGCAAGTCACGAAAAAATCGGGACGATCGCTGCACCAGAGCAACCAGAGCGAGCCAAACAATTCAAAAGAGTCGAATGAGTGAACTGCGAACAACAAAGCAAAGCAAAGCAAGAACGGCGCACCTGAGTGACTGGCCCGAGTAGCGCATGTACGCGTTGTCCAACTTGGTTTGGAACGAAATGTCTGGTCGAAAACCCTCGAGTTTGATACTGCCGCCACCAAGCAATGAGTCAGCAAAACAAAAAACCAAAAGTGCAACACAATGCAACCACGCCACGCTCGAGCACAGCGAGCGAGCGGGGAGAACCGAGCGAGCGCACAATGGCTGTGCGTGCAGCTTGAGCAAATGCGCGTCCCACTCACATCTTGACGTGCAGGTGGACCAGCAGATCGCAGCTGCGCCCGTACTGCAGCATCGTCGGCCCACTGATGGCAGTGCCCGATGCTCCAGAGCTCGAAGCAGCAGCAGCAGAGCTCGATGACACGGCCAAGCTGCTTGCTGAAGCAACTCCGCCAACGCTGCTGCCGCTCGGTCCAACGCCGCTCACGCCCGCCCCGAGGCCGCCAAGGGGAAGGCCGCTGTTGACAGAAGCGCCCATGCCCATGCCAGACACTCCGCCGACGCCGACGGGGCCGGAGCCGGCGCCGCCACTGCTGGACACCCCCACGATTGGCCGACTGGTCATTGGAACAAGAGGAAGGAAAAAAAAAAAAAAAAAAAAAAAAAAAAAAGGGAGACTGGCAATCCAAAGCAAAGCAATTGAATTCGTTCAAGCTTTTCGGTGATGACGCTGAGTTTGTGCTGCTCTGTTGTAGTTTTTCACCCAAATCGTCGCTCCCTCTTTCTCAGACAAATGCAACGCAACCCAATTCAACAACAATGCACTCTTTTCTTTTTTTTTTTTGTAGTTTTTTTTTTTTTTTTTTTTTGGTCTCGTTGTAATTCGCAGAGGATTGTCCCGTCCCTTTTTTTCTCTCTCTCTCCTTCGTAAGGTGTGTGCACCAGAACTTGAACGGCCCATGCAAGCTCTACTGCGACTCTTCTGCTCTCAGCTCGTGTTGGGGGGGGGTTGGGCGGCTCAGCAGACGTCCTCTGGTGTCCTGAAGAGCTGAAAGGCGCGCTTTTTTTTTTTTTTTTTGGTTTGGTTTCGCTCGACGCTGACTCTTCTTCTCAGCGTGAGATGTGCTCGGTTGGTTTTGGTGTTGTGCCAGAGCATTGTTGTGTGGTGCCCGCGGTGGTCAGCCAGCCACGGCGAGTGCGCAACGAACGCTCAAACTTCACACACAAGCCAGCAAAATTTGAAAAAACAAAAAAAAAAAAAAACAAGAGCTCGCTTCGATAAATAGCATTATTTATTATTTATGACAATTTGAGTGTTTTGCAGATCACTATTATCGACGCTGTCGTTCGCTGCCGTTTGTTCGGTCCGCCGGGGGTGACTGTCGTTCATCCAAACCCTCAACGTGGCACTCTGTCATTGGGTCCCATCTTCTCCCCTTTTTCCCGTCGTGGGGCGCCGCTTCAACGGTCGAAACGAAGGGTTCAGGCGTTGGTGACGCTTTCGAACTTTTTTTTTTCTTTTTGTTCTTTTTTTTTTTTTTTTTTTTTGTGGTCGAGACTTTTCTGATATCTTATCCACTTTATTGGTCTAGCGGCGACTGCACGCGTGTGTGTGCGTTTACGTCGAGGGTGACCATAAACGCCGCTGTCGTGCACTGGCAAGTGCAGTGCAAGTGACTCGAAAGACGCGCCAAAACCAAAAAAAAAAAAAAAAAAAGAATTGCATCGAACTTACGGCGATCAACGCTCGATAGCGACCTCGCAGCCGATGTGGGGCGTTGTTGTGGGGTGTGCAGCTTGCGTGATAGTGTTTGTCTTGCATGTGACGGAATGGCGTGAGCGGCTGACTTGACCTGCCGCGTTTTCCAATCGGAGTGCAGCGTTTGATTTTTTTTTTTTTTTTTTTTTTGTCTGGCTTTGGCTTTGGCTGTTGCCCCTGCATTGTCCTCCCCCTCTCCCTCGCGTTCGCTCATGAGTGTGTTGGACGACTCTCTATTCCGTAGTCATCGCACACAATGATCCTCTGATTCGATGATGACTGCTGCTTGCTCCGCGTGTTGTACTTGCGCTCTAGCTTCCTAACTTGTCTTTTGTGATGGTTTTTTTGTTCCTTTTTTTTTTTCTTCTCTTTGGTCCTCACAGTCTCACGCAGCGGGCACACACTGCAGTTGTGCTTTCATCCGACTCGATTGAACGCAACGCGCTCCTGTTGCTTGTGCATTCGAACCGGGCGGACAGCAGGCCATTCCTTGCCGATTCGGATCTTCTCCATTTGTGTCGATCTAGCCCAAAACCCCGAAATCCAAACCGCTGAGAACGACAAACCCCAAAGAAGCAAAAGCCACCATAAGGCATGTCCGTGTTTAACAAAATCTTCCAGCGACGGTCGCGCGAAGTGATTGTCAATGGCAAGACAGTCAATCCGCCACCGTTCGATCTGGACGGGAACGACCTCTCCACCTTGTCCAACATTTCGGGCTCGGACGATGAGTCGGCCAGCGAAGGGCTGGCTGGCAATTTTGACAGTGAACCTCGCGCTGAAGCGCCGCCGACCAAACCCATCGCTTCTGCTACTGCTGCTGCTACTGCGGCTGCTACGCCAAAGTCGAAAGGCAACAGCAGCCATAATAATGCTCCGGGTGCTGTAGTGCCCTCTGTTGCTGGCCCTGTGTTGGGACTTTCGTCACCGGGGACCAGCTCGTTGTTGTTAGTGCCAGGAGAAGCTGCTGCAGGCAAAAAACCGTTGAAGAAATCCGGCTCCAACTCGAAAACGGCCACTTCGCCTCCGTCGCCTGCAAAGTCATCGAGTCAAACAACCCCTGCCGAGCCCTTGGCGCGAACCACTAGCAATACGACCAGCAAATCCGGTCGATCTAGCCCAGCGGGCAAGTCCGGGTCCGGCTCCGGCTCCGGCTCTGGCTCCCCCAACTTGGCACGGCGCCACTCGGACGGCGCGAGACTATCGAGTGAATTTGAAAGCGACACACTCTCGTCCAACGGGTCAAGCTCCGGCAACGGATCGCTGTCGGGCGTGCCAGGAGCATCGCCCAACAAGACCCGCCACAAGCGCCACGCTTCCATGGATGTCCTTGTCTCGGCGTCCACTGCGGAGCGTGCTGCCGAGGTCAAATCTGCCCTGCAACGCAAATACCAGTCCATCCGCGCATCCAATGGCCGGTACAATCCTCTAGAGCGCCGCCGCACGCTGCAACTCTTCCTGCAAAATGATGGCGAAGGGGACGAGGACAACGTCAACGTCCACAAAACGATTCCCATGCTTCGTCCCGGCGGCTCGGAGCGACCCGACGTGGAAGACCAGGACAATACAAACAAGTGGGGCTGGCTCACCTCTCGTGGCTTTATTCGACTCTACCAGCGCAATCTCGGTTTCAAAACGCTCGCCTGCGACTTGTTCACCACCACAAAAGAAATCTGCCTGCTCGCCACCGACAAGTTTAATCTCGGCACCTCTCGCGACAAGTATCATATTTATGTCCAGTTGCATGATTGTGGTATGTTTCATTTTGAGGAAGCGGTGGGGGGTTTGTGCTGGTTTTTGTTTTGGTACATGTTTGCTGAAGTGTTGTTGTTGTTGTTGTTGTTGTTGTTTTTTTCCTTTGGCTTTGCAGCTGCTGAGCGAAGATTGGAAGACGATGAGCAGCCGTTGCTATTACAGCAGCAATGGCTTCGTGATATGGGCTATGACGATGATGACGCCTTGCAGCAGCAGGGTCGCTACGACCACTCGCACATGTTCCGATTCCTCTTTAGCAATACCTCAACGGCCATGGAGCACTCTTGGGAGCACATGGAACGCAAGTTTGAGGCGTTTGTGCTCGGCATTGGCGTCAGCAACACTCATGTACGTTTCGGTTTTGGTCCCGCTCGATTCGGTGCTGTTTTTTGGTCTCATCTTGCTTTTCTTTGTTGCTGACGCTCTCGCGCGTTCTTTGCTTCTGCTTCCCATCCCCCTCAGGTCAAGTCCATGTCAAAACTAAGACCATCCTTGCTCCTACAGTATACCGACGAGCTAGATCTCTCAAATCACAGCCTAGGGACGTTGTTGCATCAGGAGACGACCACCTTGTCGTCCCTCTTGCTCAATTCAATCATCCAATCGTCATTGGGCAAGCTGTCGCTCTCGGGCAATGTTCTTCCATTCGTCCCGAAGGAAATTTGCTCTTTGCATCACCTAACTGCGCTTGACCTGTCCAACAACATTCTCGCCGATCTTCCAGTCGAGCTACCACGGTTGACGCGCCTCGAAGTGTTAAACTTGTCTCAGAATGCCTTTAGCACGCTCCCGCTTGTGATTGGAGGGTTGCAACGGCTCCGCGTGTTGCTTCTCGCAGACAACCGCATCCACACCATTCCCACCGAGCTCAGTCAGCTCCAATCACTTGAAAAGCTGGACCTGCGAGGGAACAGCTTGGTATCGCTCGATCCCTCGCTCATGGCGATGCCGTCGCTCAAATGGCTCAACATTACAAACAACAAGATTGACGCGCTGCCACAGGCGCCAGCCGACAAGCCCTGTGTCATTCAACACCTGCTCTGTGATTCCAACATGATGAGCATTGCGCGCATCTTCTATCCCAATCTGCACGAGGTGACTCTGCGACAGAACAACATTACAGTGTTTGCCCCGCCTGGCGCTTCGCTCGCCTGCCTCTCCAAGCTCGACCTGTCCGCCAACAAGCTCATTTCTTTGCCGGATTCCATCGATCGCCTCGCCTCGCTGCGATTCCTGCTTTTGGACAACAACCGCCTCACTCGATTGCCCAACACGCTGACCAAGCTCAGCAATCTCGAGACGCTGTCAGTGACGCGAAACGCTCTCACCAGTCTGCCGGACATGATTAGCAATCTGCGTCGACTCAAGCACCTCCTGATTCAAGTGAACAACTTGACGCACCTCCCGGAAGAGCTGTGGTTTTTGCCTCAGCTGGTCTTGCTGAATGCCGGCTCCAACCTCTTGCAGTATTTGCCAGATCTCGAAATTTACGCCGCCCACCAGCGCGCTGCGTCGTCCGGCAGTTCGGCGTCGTTTTCCGCCTCGACTGCTGCCCCGTCCATCCCGTCAAACGCTGCCACAGCGGGCGGAGATGCCGGGCAGGACGCGACGCGGCAGAGCACTGCAAGCTTGGCGAGCAACTCCACCAAGCCCAGCGACGGCACTGCTGGTGGTGGGGATTCGCCACAAAGCAGCGGCACGACCACGCCTCAGCAACAGTCGGGTGGCGAGCCTGTTCCAGCCGTCACGGTGACCATCCCGCAATCGACTTCCGCCCCTTCCCTGTCCACTCCTTCCTCGACCACTGTTCCACCAGCGTGGGATGCCTCCAACCCCATGTCTCTGCAGCTTCGCATGGCGATGCTCATGAAACTGGTCAACGAGAAGAGCGACTCCCCGGTTGCGCTGTTGCCCACTCCGTGCACTGTCGTCGGTAACTGCCCCACCAGTCCTCGTCATGAAGGGCATGTGCGACTTCGCAGCATGCGATCGCTGCCGCCAGTCACTGAGGGCGAGAATTTCCGCATGTCCATGCTCCGTGGCTCCAGCTCCAGCTCTGGCGGCCAGTTTGGGACGGTTGTGCGCAGAACGTCGATGGGCAGCATCAACAGCCGCTATTCGACCATCTCCTCGGTTGCCTTCCCGCCAGAAGGAGGCGCGCCTCCTGGTGCGTTCCCGAGCTATGTGGATGAGAATGCGACCGACGCCCGCAAGTCTGGCATTTTCGGGACCAAGTCTCGGAAGGAGCTTCGAGACCAGCAAAAGGCGCTCGAGAGGGAGCGCAAGGAGCGGGAGAAGCGTGACAAGGTCGACAAGAAGGGCCAGCGCAAGGGCCGCCCCACGCTGGACGTTGCCGGCGCCGGTGGCAGCGGCGGGACACTCCGTGCTGACGGGTCGGGCCTGCCCATCGACGAGCTGGACGAGGCCGCCGAACAGCAGCAGCAACTCGACGACATTTACAGCGACGACGACACCTGGCCCCGTTTGCGTGAGCTCTATCTCGGTGACAACAAGCTTGGCGACGACTGTCTCGAGATTATCAGCAAGCTCAAAAATCTGCGTGTTCTGCATCTCGGAAACAATGCCTTGATGGAGATTGAAGGATTGGGCAAGCTACGCAAGCTGCGCACGCTGTGTCTGTCCGGCAACGACATTGCCTACATTTCCGAAGACATTGAGAACATCAAGTACCTCCATGCACTATTTATCAGCAACAACAAGCTTTCCAACCTCCCGACAGAGTTGTCCAAGCTCAAGTACCTGTGGACTGTGGATGCGCGCGACAACAATCTCCGTTGGAATCTTCGAAATGAAGAGTTTGACTGGAACTGGACGTCCAATCCAGAGCTGCGGCATCTGGATATTTCCGGCAACAAGCGCTTCATCATTAACGATCCTAACGTCGACTTTTTCGGCATGGTCAAGCTGAACCTGCTTGGTCTGGAAGGCGTGCAAGTCTACAACGACTTCCCCGAAATTCTCCGGCCAGCCTTGCGCATGGTCAAGGAGCCGGATACCAAAGTGGGCGCCCGATTTGCGCGGTTTGACTTCCGCTCTGGGTTGGCAGAGATGCGACCTGGCTTGTATCAGGCCATGCGACCGCGCGCAGCCAGTGTTTCCAACTCGCTCGCATCCATCTTTACGCCACCTGCGGGTCCAACCGGTGCTCATGCTGGCACTGTTCGCTCTTCTAGCGCTGGCCAGGCTGGCGCTACTCCAAACCGCCGCAGCCACAGCAACAGTAGCAGCAGCAGCAACGGCAATGGCAAGAGCGGTGCGCATAGTAGCGTGCGCCACCACAGCGCCGCCTCGCCTGGAGCCATCACTCTGCAAGAGTTTTTCGCCGGAGATGTCTCGTCGGCCGGCGGTCATCCAGAGCGCCACAGCGGTGCAGGAACCGAGCCATGCACCGAGTTTTTGCGCATCGATCGCTACCGCAACCGCCCTCGCTTGGCCTTGTTTGGTCTGTTTGACGGCCATCGCGGCTCTGAGGTTTCTCGGTTTGTGCGCGAAAACTTCCTCGCTGTGTTTGAAGAAGAGATGGGCAAGTGCAACCAGGACGCCATCCGCGGTCTTCGTCGTGCCTTTTTGTCGCTCAATCGCAAGCTTGGCGTGCTTCGCCTTGGCAAGCTGTGTGGCTCGTCGGGCCTCGTGGTGTTTTTGGACAAGGACAAGCTGTATGCAGCCAACTTGGGCGATTCGATGGCTGTTCTTTGTCGCTCTGGCAAAGCCAAGCTGCTGTCCGTCAAGCACGCGGCGACCACCATGGATGAGCGCGAGCGCATCAAGAGTGTCGGCGGTGCCGTGTCGGACGACGCTCGCGTTTTCGGCGCTGTGGACGCGTCGCGCGCCTTTGGTGACTTTTTCTGGGCGCCCAGCGTCAACTGCAACCCGCATACGACCACCGAACCCCTCACGCAAGAGGATGAGTTTGTCATCCTGGCGTGCTGCGGTCTCTGGGACGTCATGACGCCACAAATGGCCGTCGATATTGCCAAGTCGGAACCCACGCCTTCCAAAGCTGCGCAAAAGCTGCGCGACTTTGCCTGGCTGTACGGCGCTCGCGACTCCATCACCGTGATGGTCGTCTTCACGCCCAGCTCGGCGCGCCTTCGCAAAAACCGCGACGGCAAGTCGGCGCTGCAGCAGCGCGGCTTTGACGGTGTGCCCACGAGTGTGGCAGACCTGATCAAAGCTCCGGTTGGAAAAGTCACCCTGGTCTTTACGGACATTACCAACTCGCTTGTGCTGTGGGAGCTGTACGAGAACGCCATGCGCCAAGCGGTCAAGGACCACAACGACTTGCTGCGCAAGCTCTTGCGCCTGCACCGCGGCTACGAGGTGAAAACGGAAGGCGAAGCCTTCATGGTCGCCTTTGACAACCCGATGAATGCACTGCGGTGGTGTCTGGAAGTCCAGCTGCAGCTCCTTGAGGTGCCGTGGCCGGAAGACTTGCTGGCCACGGACGACTGCAAGGAAATCCGCATTGCGCCCTCCAAGCGTGCCCCAATCAGTGCGGCGGCTGCACGCATGACGGAAACGTCCTCGCCAGTGCTGGGACGCAAGTCGGTTGCCTTCTTTGACAGCGTCTCTGGCTCGACCAGCTCGTCGCCCGTCCACGGCGGCCAAAACGGCGACGCTGCGCCTGTAGAGCGCGTCATCTGGCGCGGTCTGCGCGTGCGCATGGGCATCCACACTGGTAATCCCGACTGCGAGCCGGATCCAGTCACCGGACGCATGGACTACTTTGGTCCCACTGTCAACCGCTCGGCGCGTGTGACGGCTGTGGCCGACGGCGGCCAAATCGTTGTGAGCAGCAGCGCGTGGGAAGAGCTCGAGGGTGACATGCCGCACTTTGAGGACACGGCGGTTGCCAACCTTGGTTCGTTCGAACTGAAGGGCATGGAAAAGAAGGAGACCATCAAGCAAATCCTGCCAGCGCGACTCGTTGATCGCTCGCCATTCTTCATGCATCCTCCTCGGCCTGCCGAGCCAGTGGCTGTTGCTGCCTCTTCGCCTCACCGACTGCACAGCACCCCCTCGTTCTCTTCGGCGACCCAGCTGTCTCATTCACCTCAGAAGTAGATGCAGAGGTTCCCTTTTTTTTTTTTGCCTTCAAGACATTATTCACCACCATTCCCTTGAGGGCACATTGTATTATTCTCGTTTTGGTTTCTTGTTTGCGTGTTGTGTTGTATGTTGTTGTTTTGTTCGTTTATTCTATCCGAGTGGTTTGTCATTAATAGATTTGCTTTTTTTGAGTTTTCTTTGTTTCTGTTCCGACCTTACCCGGAACTTAACCTAGAATCACTACTGAAGCGTACGGAATGTATGCGGAAGTGTCGTTTACTAAGAATATAGTGAAGAATGAGGGGAAGATGAGCCCAGTTCGTAACACGAATCCTTTGGGTTTTACGTCGATGAGTTTGTTGTTTCTTTTCCAATGTTGACGACTTGTTGTTGTGTTTGTCAACACAGCACTCCAACACTCGACAACAGCTACAACAACAAAAACATGCACAAAAAATAATGAAATGTATTCTTGCGTTGCAAGGCAAGATTGACAGACAACGCCGATCACACGACAATCAACCACTACACATCGAATCGCTCACACGGTGACCGTTGGAGGCGTGCTTTTTTTTCGGTTCTTTTGCTTTTATTTGCCGCCGCAACATCCACCTTCTTGGGGAGCGGGTGCATCCTCTTTGACTTGCAGAGCGCCGTCCGAGCGACCGCCTGGAAACGTGGCGTTGGCAAGGCTGGCTGTTCGCACTCGGTTGCCAGGAACGCCGGCATGACCCGGTGCAATGGGAATGGTCAGAATGTGGCTGACAAGCGTCTTGATGGCCTTCTCAATGTTAATATTCTCCTTTGCCGATGTTTCAAACCAGCAGAGGAAGCCCATTTCGCGCGCAAACTCGTCAATCTCTTCTCGGGAGACTTGTCGGTCTGGGAGGTCGCACTTGTTGGCAATCAGCATGCAGGGGATGACCTCGTTGTTTGGCAACCGGACCTTGCTGTCGACGTCCGCCTTCCAGCCACGAACTTTTTGGAAGGACCACCTCTGTGTCAAGTCGAAAACAACCACTGCTGCTGCGGCTGATCTGTAGTACACACGCGTCATGTGTTGGAAGCGCTCCTGGCCTGCAATGTCCCACAACTAACAAGGGTGGCGGAATGGGGAGGCAAAAAGTTAGCTGAGGCTTTCGAGACAGAAGTTTGTCAACGGCACCGTCACGTCACGCCTACCTGTAATCGGACATGCTCTTGTTTGGAAATATCAATGACCTTGAGGGCAAAATCGACTACAAGAGAGACGAGAGAGAATTTCCACCAGACGTCAGCCAAAATGCGGTGTTGTTTGTTTTTTTGTTTGTTTGTTTGGTTGTTTGGATGTTTGTTGCTTGCTTGCTTCTTACCTCCCAGTGTGGACTTGTATGTGCGATCCCAGGTGTTGTCAACGTATCGTCGGATGAGTGCAGTTTTGCCTGTGCAAGTCAAATCAACATCAGCGTCAAGTGATGGATGGATGGAGCGACCATCCGAGCAGCTATTTCTCCTTCTACATTTTTTTCCGACCATTCTCCGACCATTCTCCTACATTCTCAGATGGCAACCACTGCATGAATGCTGTTCCTCCAGTATTCTCACTGTGGTGCATATGACCAATTGTGCCATGAGTGATTGCTGTTTTCGCCGTAATAACTCACTTGCCGCCCCACCATCCCCACCATCCCCACCATCCCTCATCCTCTAAAATCTGCATCACCATTGCTGCTGATCTCCAACCAAAACCCCATCAGCCCCCTTCTCTCTCAACTCAAATCTCAATGGCTTTTTCAAACATGATTTTTTTTTTTTTTTTTTTTCAGAGTTCGTTCAGTTGCCTGCCCTCACGTGTGGGCCTCCGGTCCCCACCAGCCATCCCGTAGTCTGAGACTGAGCTCAATCTCATTCCAACGACTCTTTGACGTGCATCCTCTCACGCTCTCTGTCGCTCTCGCTGTTGTCTCGCTTGTCGTGCGCTGAATCACACGACAGACAAAAATAATAAAATAAAATAGAAATAAAAAATTGGCGCCACATAGTCAACTGAGCGATCACTCAAATGCTGTGCAACCCGCACCGACCGCCGACCGCCGACCGCCGACTGCCGACCGCGGACGATAAGGGGTGGTCGTTTAAGACGCCGAGAGTGTCTGCGTGACGACGCAACGAGACGGGGTGCCGAAACAAAAAAAGAGAGAAGAGAACGAGAACAACGAGCGCTCAAGGCCCTGTGTCTCACTGACGCTGGCCAGCAGCGCGGCACAGAGACATACTCACCAGTGGTGCCCTCGCCGATAATGATGACCTTGAAGACGTGCTCCAGCGCCCCGCTCGTGGAGCCCGCGGCTGCAGTCACACCGCCACCGCTGCCAGTCATCAAGCTGCTGCTCAAGCTGGGCGATCCTGGCGGCAGTCCACCCGATGACGACGAGCCAGACAGCGACATTTCCTGGTTGCGGGCTTTCGTGTGAATGATACTGGCTTTTTTGTTGTTTTGGTTTGTTTGCGTTGATACAACTTGGCTGAAAGAAAGCGAGAGTGAGAGAGAAGATGCGTCAAAAAAAAATCAAACAAAAAAAAAAAAAAAAAAAGACTGATGACTGCATTTGCATTAACAAAAAAAAAAAAAAAAAAAAAAAAAAAAAAAAAAAAAAAAAAAAAGTCGTCTTTCTCTCTCTCTCTCTCGCTCTCACTCTGTTTCTCGCCATTGAAAGTGATGGTGGCCTTTTTGCAAACTCGGAAACAGAGAAACAACACCGTGTGCGTTTTGCTCGCATCTGTGATTACTGTCGCAAGCACAGCTCTTTGATCCAAAATTGCTTTCTCAGCAGCAGCAGCTCAGTTCTGATTTTTTTTTTTTGTTGATTTGCTGCGTCGCTTCTACCCGTCCATCACAGACACACGCACACGCACACGTTAATTTTTTTATTATTATTCCCTGTAGCTGGTTTTTGCTGGATGGATCAGGACGCACTCGAGGACGAGCTCTTCCAGATTGCGGATGCGCTGCGGCCCATCGTCTGCAGAGAGTCGTTCGACTGGCAAGGCATGGCAGACGGGAGCTTGCTGATGGACGATTCCGACAACGACGATGATGAAGACATTGATGATGACGATGACGACGACGACGACGACGACGACGACGACGACGAGTACGGCGAGATGGACGAAATGGACGTGAGCGACCACGATGAACATGATGATGACCAGCGAGCACAGCGCTTGATCGCGCGCATGCGCTCCTTGGCTGCTGGAACGGCCAGCGCTGGAGCTCAATCGAGCAGAGACGCATTGACTGCGACTGCGGCAGGTCGTGCAGCGGGCGGCGGCGCACAGCACGCCAGGCAACGGCGCGGACGGCGATGGCGCCACGAGGACGAGGACGAGGACGACCACGACCGAGATGAGGATGACGATGAGGACGACGATGGCGACTCAAGCGACGTCCAGCATGACGACAATGACGACAACGAACGCGACGCTGAGGATCTTGATGGCGACGCGGACGACCAAGAAGACCTCGAGAGTGCTTCAAGCCAATCGTCCCTTGACGATGATGATGATGATGACGACGACGACGACGACGACGACGACGACGAAGCCAGCCTGCCAGAATGGGTCATTGAACCAATAGTGCAGCCTCCGTCGCACGGCAGGAATAGTGTCAACAGGCATGCTTCGAGGAGGCCAGGGTCAGGATCAAGATCGCGGCAACGACAAAGGCGGCCAGAGCCTGCAGATGCCATTCCCTTACTCACCAGGTAATAATAACGGCATCATCCCATTCGTGTCGAGAGAGACAGTCGATCGAACGGTGCAACCATCTCCAGTTTGTCCGTCGTTGTGTGCTTGACTCAAAGAATGCTCACCACCACCATCACCACCACCTGTGAAACAGATTGAGTGAACTCCTGGAAGCCGCTGAGGAAGACTTTCTCCGATTGGCTGTTGAGCCTTTGCAAGATCGTGAACGATTTGCCATTGGAAGAGCTGGCGTAGCTCTGGACGAGCACGAGGATGTGTGGAATGATCTCATCAACGGTCCCAACTTTTTCTACAGCTCCGACCCGACCATCGCCATGGTGGCCTTCCGCGCGACTTGTGCATTGATGCGTACGACAAGAGTCGAAGTGTTAGACACGGTATGTCAAAACCCGAAACACTTGTATTTGAGAGGGAGGTGTGGGGACGAAACCGACCCTTTTGTGGTGATTTGTGAAAAACCGTAGTTGCCCTGCTGCATGTCAATATTTCGACTTTCCCCCCCCCCCACACACACACACACACACATTCTTACCCTCCTTTTCCCCACTGTGGACCGATCTTAACAGGTGGATTTTGTGGAAAAGGTCCAGCAAAACATTGCCTCCGAAGACAGTCACGCCCAACTCTTTGGTTTGCTTCTTTTGGAACTCGTCTTGTATGATCGCCACATTCGGGAAAGCTTTTTCGTTGGGTCTGAAATGTTTTCTACTGTGATGACACGCATCAAGGAGCAGGCCGTGACCTTTTCGAGAGATCGAGCAGACGCTCTTTCCGCCGCCAGCACTCCGAATGTGCCACGAGCGTCCACGAGCGAACGCGGTGTGACCGCCGCAGTCAGTAGCTCGCTGCCCAATTCTTCTTCGATCTTTGCTCAAGCTGCAGCGGAGGCAGCGGCATCCAGCAGTTCATCGGCTCCGCCAAATGCACTTGAACTCCCTGTCGCGTCACCGAGAGCGCCACGCTCGCCGCGTATTCCCCATCCGAGAGTCGGCGGCGCCTTGAATGCTGCAAGTGCCGCTGTGCCGTTTGAACCTGCGTGGCTAACGCGCCTCAAAGGGCAGCAACAGCAAGGCAGTCCGGCGCGTGCGTCTGGATTGTCGGGATTGGCTCCACCGGCGCTCTCTGCAGCTGCCTCCAGCTCTGCTGCGTTGCCTGAATTTACCAACCAGCGGATGCTTTTGGCGCTGCTTGGCTGCTTTGCGGCCCTGGCCGAATATCAAGAGTCGGTTGAAGCCGCCAGCGCGGTCAATGTGCTCGAAACTCTGCTCGTTCTGTTGCACACGGGACGCAACAACAAGTATGTGGTCAACGCTTTGCTCGCGGCTTTAGCTGCCTTCTTGCTGCACAAAAAGTTTGCCACCGAGTTTATCGAGTGCGGCGGACTCCAGCTGCTGTTGGAGCTTCCACGGGAAGTCTTTACTGCCATGCATCTTTCGGCGTGCTTTGTCATCCTGTCGCGCAACGTCGCAATCATGGAGCGCATGTGTCTGATGCCGAATTCCACCTTGGCGCACGTGATTGACTCCATCCTCTGGATTCTCGACTGCACCAGCGAGGAGACAAAGGCGCGCGCTGTCCTCTTCTTTGTCGAGGCTTTCTGCTGCCGCGCGGTTGTCGAGTACTTTGATTCTCGCCATGGGCTGCGGATTCTCGTCAACCTCATCGGAATGCTCGAGCTTCAGCTCGACAGCCCCGAATCCGAACAGCTGCTCGCGTTGAATACCTGCTGCGCCCTGCGTCAGTACTTTCGCATGCACCTCTCCATCAAGGCGTATGCTGTTCGTCGCAAGATTGCTCTTGACCAAGTGCTCGGACTGGGCCCACCAGCCGGGCCGTCAACAGAGGCGCGCTTTGGCAGCCCCGCCGTCGCCATTCCCACCGTTGGGGGTGGCACTGCCTCGCGGCCAGCCGATGGTAGCACACACAGTGCTGCCTCCATGCCCGCCACGCTCCTGCCCGCCTACAAGTCCACTGTCCTGGACGCAGCCACGACGGCACAGGACGCCGAGCTCGTCTCCAACAACCTCAATCTCGCATTCTCGACCCTCGTCGACTTGTGGGCACCCGTGGACGAGCTGCTGCGCATGACGGCGATCGAGCACTTTTACGAGTTGATTGACATGGGTGCCTCTTGGTTTGACAGCCAGGTGATGGAAGCCAGTCTGGACATCCTCCAAGTCTGTGCCGTGTTGCCTTCGTCGCACGTGCAACTCATCGCGACCACCTTTGATTCACATGTTGAAGAAGCCACCATCTCGGGCATGGAACTGCTCTTGCTGACTGCCGAAGGCAAACGTGGCGAGGCCTCGAGCGCAGTCCGCAAGGCAGCCTTGAGCATTCTTTGCTCGTGTGTGTGCCGCGCTTCGCTGACCCAGCGACAGATGCAATCAATGTTTACGCTGAGTCCCCCCTTTGGTATGCCACCGGCCCCAGGAATTCCGCAACTGCAGCTGACCTTCACTGCTCCAATCCCACCGGTGCATTGCATTCGGACAACGTACAGCTGCATCCAGTCTTATCGCAACAATCCTCCGCCAATGTTGACCTTGTACTCGCCGCCCGCGCCGTTGGATTTGTTGCTTCAGATTGTATTCGACACCTTGCGAGGCATGAGCGGCATCAAGGTGCTCCTGAGTCTTTTGCGACTCGTGCCCCACACTCGGACCCCGCTTGCGGATGCGGATGTCATTCGAGCGCTGGCTTGTCGAGCCCTTGTTGGTGTGGCGCGCGACGGGGAGATTCTCCAGCTGCTCAGCAGACTGCAGCTCACCACCGAGCTGTCCGAAATGATGCGCGAGCCCGTCAACCCAGCCACCTCTGCTATGGCCCACGCATCCTTCCGTCAGCTGGCAGCATCGCTTGTTGCAACGCTGACAGGCCGCAACGCGCTTGCTATTCGCAACGAGGTTGCCAACAATTCGCTGCAACAGCTCGACCGAGCCGCCATCGTGGCCAGTACTGAAGTGTCTTATTCGGATGACGAGCTGATGGTGCTCATTTTCAATCACCTGCAGTCGAAAGGACTCACTTCGAGTGCAGAAGCACTCCGACGAGAAGCTCGGCTGCAAACGGGGCCTGGCGCGCTCGGTCACGCGGGTGCCGATGCTGGTCGAGCTGGAATCCCCGCCAACGTGCGAAGCAACAGCAATGCTGGCGGTGCAGTTGCAGCGGATGCCATGCTCTCGTTGGAGACCACTCCATCAGTGTCACGCTCGGCGTCCTACATTGCAGCCGGAGCGGGTGGCGAGCCCAGCTCCATGTCGCTTGCTGTAAATTCCCATGCGGCCGCGACGTTCGGCAAAGTGTTTGCCGAAATTTCTGGCACTTCTGTCAGCGAATCCATCAACAACTCGGCCGGTGCCCTCACCAACGCTCCTGCCGCCACACCCGTCTCCTTGCGGACGCCCCTCACCTTGCAACGAATGACGCCAACGACGCGCCTCCGCTCCACTCCGCTGCACCTGTCGCATGCGACCAAGCCTCTGGCTGTGACGGATGCGCACGCGCCTTATGCTACGACAACGGTCGTTGCAAGCCACTCGGCTGGCAGTGCCGCTTCGTCTTCTCTGGGGAGTGATGGCACTGCTCCTGCGTCTCATGTGCATGTGCATGGCGGCAGTGTTGCTTCGGGCCAGCCGTCAGCTCCATCGCTTGACATTATCATCAAGCAATTCCTGCGTGATCAGCACGAAAACTGCTCGCATCCGATTGCCGTCGCCCCGCCATTCTCATTGATGACGCCACACCACTGCCCCGAGCCGACTCACAAGCACTACGCTCCCACAAATATGGCGACTCGCATGCTTGCCCGGCAAATTCAGCCTTCTGACGGTGGTCTGTACGGCCGCAAGCTGTCTCGCAAATTCCTGTTCAGTCGGCTTCGCAAAGTCGAGACTTGCCGGCCGTTGCGCACCATTCGCTCGCTCTGCTATGCTGACGATGGAGAGTCTGTCATCTTGGGAGATGAGTTTGGCGAGATTTCGATGCTAAACCTGCACACCATGGAGGAGGCTGAGCAGTCGTTCGGCAATTCAACGGGCGCCATTCTCGCTCTGCGTCCGTCGAAGGATTCGCGCTTGATTTTAGCGAGTTCGCAGTATGGTCCCGTGCGCTCGACCTTGTGGCGTCGTGGTAAGCTAGCGGCTTGTTTGTTTGTCTGCTTGTCGTTGGAGGGTTTGTTTTGTTTGTTTGTTTGTTTGTTTGTTTGTTTTTCCACCCCACACCACACCACACCACCCCCATTGCTTTCCTCTTCTCGTGTGGTTGAATGTTGAAAAGGCCGTGTCTCAATTTGCGCATCGCTGGTATTGTTTATCTGCTTTGTTGTGTGGCCTTGATCACCGTAGATCGACTCGGCGCAAACGAACACCATTTAACCGTGGCATTGGAATTTGAGGACGATTGGTTTGCTCAGTTCTCGGGCGACAACACTCAGATTATCGGCACAGAAGACAGTACTGCACGGATTTACTCGGCGGAGACCGGACAGGTGATTCTCACATTGTCTGATGCTGCTTCCAACCGCTACGAGAGGAATGTTGCGTGTTTCAACGCGACAGACGACCTCGTGCTGCACGACGGAGTGCTGTGGGACGCTCGGCAGGCTCGGAAAATCCACAAGTTTGACAAGTTCAACAACTATGGCTTGAGTCGCTTCCATCCCAATGGCAACGAGATTCTGATCAACTCGGAGATTTGGGATGTGCGCACGTTCAAGCTGCTTCGTACTTGTCCGATGCTCGATCGGGCGAGCGTGATCTTCAGCTCGACGTCGGACGTCATTTTTGCCATTGCTCATTATCAACCCTCGATCAGCATTGTGAAGCCTCGAACGCCGCGAAACACGCTTCACACGATTGATGCAACAGACTACTCGACAATCTCCTCGCTGGAGCTTAGCTCGCCGATTCTGGACATTTCGCTGCATCCGCATGACACCAGTCTGATTTTGAGCGAGGTATGTGATGTCCGTTGCTGTTGATGCATGGCGTGAGCAAGCAATAAGGGTTCCATTTCATCTCACTTTGGAAATTGCGATTGTTGTTTCATCGTCTCAGAAAACGCCTTCGGGACCCGCTTTGTCGCTCTATGATATTGGACGGCATGCTGCCAGTGATAGCGATCGAGAAGATGCCTCTGACATGGATGAGGACGATCCTGATAATGATGCAGAGAACTCGGATGACGACGACGACGACGATGAGGAGAACGGGTCTGAGACTGAGCTTGACGTCAGCTCGCTCGACTTGTCAGATGCCCCGTTTGATCTTGAGCTCTCTGGATTTGATTTTGACGACGCTCGTGACGACGACGATGGTGATGAGGATGATGGTGATGATCCTGACGACGACGACGACGACGACGAGAACGATGCAACTCTGTTGGGCATTGATCAGGACGACCGAACGAGGTGGAATAGACGCGGCGCCCGGTTTGGTGGTTTTGACGAGTCTGATGCCAGCTCCGAGGCTGTGGTGGATACAGAAATGCCCTACTCTGACCACTCGGACGTTGATCATGATCACGATCTGGAGTCTGGTGATTTCGACCAGGCCGCGGGATTTGCGAGAGCTGTTGCGTCGAGTGACGATGACAGCCACGATGAACTGGGCCGCGCTCCTGGCGTGCGGCGACTGCCTGCTGGCCAGTCGCGCGAAATTGCATCCAATTCGAGCGAATGGGAATCCGACACGGACGACCAGCAACTTGTAAGCTTCGGTCGTGGCTCGCGTCGTCAATCGAATGCCACAGTCCCCGTGCGTCGCACATCGCAGTCAAGATTGGGACGAAGAACGCGTTCGCGGATGGTTGCGGCCAGTTCCGGAGGCCTGGTTGTCACACCCACCTCCCCGACGCGCATCCCAGCAACGTCGTCCACTGCGGCTTCGGGTGAATGGGAGGTCAACCCTGACAGAGTTAACGCTCCACAGTCGCCTGAGGCTCAACTCGACATACCCAGTAGCCCGACGTCGAACGGCGGCACATCCTCCGTCCCAGCAACACGGCGCTCACCTGCACAGGCCCGTCGCCAGCGCCGCAGCCAGGACCGTATTGCTCGAGTTCGAAGCCAACGCGCGGCGGCAAATCCAAGCATCCCGCAAGAGTTCATGTCAACTGTCGGCAACTGGACTGTCGTCCGCCAACACCCGGCAGCGACTCTCGTATCTGCTGCTCCCGCTCAAGCCAGGCGTGAGTCTGCAGACGCTGGTGCAGAAAGTGGCTCGGTCCAGAGTGGTACAAGTGGCAACGAATTGCCCTCGCTCGATATGGACTCGCCAGACTCCGACGTCTCTGAGCTTGAATTCGAAACTGGGTCCAGCGACAGCTCTGGCATGTTCCCGGATGATTGGGGTCGGCATCGTGGATCTAGAAGTCCCACCCGCTCTGGCAGCCATCATAATAATCATAGTAATACTAATCGTAACGACGGCAACGACGACGACGACGACGACCAAGACGACGACAACAACGACGACGGCGACAATGAGCACTCTGATGTGGAAAGCTCGAGTCTCAATCTCTGATGGCTGCACAATGAGATCCTGGCTCTGTGGGCCAACCGATGTGATGTAAACTATAATGTATTGTTATTTAGCCATTCTATCGTCAGCTGCCCTTCTGGGAAATGCTTTGCTCAAGCAGTGACCATGAGAGCCGTGCCAATGCGTAACAGTACATCGCGCAAGAGAACTCGAATATTGGCGTCGCTTGTCGCGACGCAGTCCACCAGAACGGGGTAGAGCTGAATCAGAATTTGTCGAGCCCGACCTTCGGTTAGTTTGTCAGAGCGCGCATCTAAAGCGAGAAAAGTACAAGGCAGGTGAGAAACATTCGCCGAGAAGCCGACATCAAGACTGGTCAAAAAAATTCAAGGCCAATTCAAGGTACCTTGTTGCAAGCTGTTGATAAGGGTAACGATAGCCTTAAGGACGAAAGCGACCTCGCCCAGGAGCGCCCTGCATCACGGACGATTAATCAAAAATAAAGACAATTAGCACATCATCAAAGGTGAAATGTGTCAAGAAAAAATGCTCCGCACTCACCTGGGCAATGGCATCGACCCACTGATGCCTTCAGCCGAGACGTACTGAACCAGAACGTCTTTACATCGCGTTGTGAGAGCGAGGACGGCCACATCGGAAACACCCTTGCCTGCAATGCGAAATGTGTGGGAGGAAAAAAAAAAAAAAAAAAAAAAAAAGACCAAGAGTATCGCATGAGATAAGAATCACCAACAGGGGGTTTTTCCGTAAGGCATCACACAGACAATGGCTGGTACATACCGGGCGAATCGGAGAAGGAAGTCATGAGCAACGCGTCAAAGCACGCCTTCGTCAGCCGCTCGCGCGGAACACTCAACGCATTCAGGCCGGCAAGTCCACTCGCGCCATCGGCAACTGCGGCTGTGAGCCCAGGCTCTGATCCTCGGCGAAGAGATTCCATCAGCAGGGCCAAGGTAGCTGGGCTGACATTGTCCGTGAAAGGGAAGACATCGGCCTTGACCAGTTCGAGCACGCTGAGATCGACGTCCTCATCCAACTCACGTTGCTCGAGAGTATAGTCTTTCGGCAAGACGCTGCAAGTGAAGAAGAGGGTGCGAGAAGGAGAGGAAAGTTGGTTCGTGAACAGAACAGAACTGCAACCTCAACCTCCTTCGACAACAACATACCTGTCGGAAAACCAAAAGTCCTGGACAATCTTGAGCATTTCCGCCCACATTGCGTTGACAGCATCAGCGCCAACTATGTCCGGTTGCAGAAAAGATCAGTGCAAAAATAGACGGCAACGTCAAGAGTCGCGACAAGGAGCAGACCAAAAGCACGGCCAGTGATCCTGGAGAACTTACGCAAGGACGGACGTTGCAGCTTGAGTCCTCGTCGAACCACCGAAATGAAGCAGTTAACAGCGAGTCTCCACAACGATTGCGAGGGGCAGGCGTACTTGAGAGCAAGCGGGTGATGCAAGACCTGATTGTTTCGATATCGAAATGGTGCAATAGTTGAGCAAAGCGTGTGAGCGCACAAACGGGTTCCACAGCATGATTCAAGACAGAAACCTTCACGAGAATCCAACTCACGCCCTGTCTCTCTCTCTCTCTCTCTTTCTCTTTCTCTCTTTCTCTCTCTCCTTTCCCCTCCCCGCATCCCATACCTTCATTATTCGCGAAAAAATGTTCTGCTGAAGCATGCTCGGAAGTGTGGCGTGCTTCTCGTAGAGCTCTCCAACAATCACGAGGCACTTGCGCGCGAGTGGCAGGAATGGCGCAAGACCAATTCCGGGCACGTTGGCTGGCATGGCTGGGAGGGACTGCACGGCCTGAATCGCCGCGTCCAGCGTGGCCTGCATGGCTGGAGATTGCGTTGATGGTGGCGCTGCTGCCAGGGGAAGCCACGCCAACGGCACGTAATTCAGCAGCTCGACCACCATGATGGGCCATAGATCGGGATTGGTGGGCTCGAGTCGAGCAAACACCTCAAGAACAGTGTTTTGGAGGGTAGAAGTGTTGTCAGCGTCCCGATACGCATTCGAGTTGGGATACAGCAGGACCTTGGTCAGAACGCTGAACAGCTCCCGCGCATCTGCGATGGAAAACATGGCCTTGATCCGGCTGTGCACAAACGAGAATGTCTCGACGTACATTTGCAGATACTGCTGCGAGTACAAATCCGGAGAGGCGACCGCGCCGTTCTTGCCCGTGCCCGACTCTGGAAGCGCAGTCACAGCAGACCCGATGCTGAGCCAACTGACCCAAGCTTTGAGGTACAGGCCTCTCCAAACATTGTCGGGAATGGTCGTGGCCGTCGCGTCCTCGGGATCTGGAGGGGTGGCACTGCTACTGTCATCCGTTGCCGGAGGCTTGAGAATCTCCTGCAGACTCTCGATCGCGGCTGTGGCAACCTCCTTGCTCCCTTCAACAGCCGTTCGCTCGATGGCTTCCAGGAGGGTTGACCAGGCAGAAGGAAAGTCATCAAAAGCAGCGAGCTTTTGAGTGTGCGTCGAGAACAACTGGGCTGCGCCATTGAGCGCAATCACCTTGGTCTCGTCCCATTGCTTGGACGCAGTGTTGCGCGAGTGATGCACCATGATGGACCCTTCGGCAGGCGCAGCGGCCCCATTCTGGGCGGCATTGGTCGACGACGTCTGAATGTGAGCAAGAAGCGGGAAGATTACATCCCACAAGCAGGCGTGCCAAGTGGAGCGACCAAGCAGCGCGCCATGGGTTGAGATGGTGGAAAACAGCGTTTGAGATGCAGATTTTCGAACCTCGGGACGCGGATCAATGCAAATGTCGGCCAGACGGCCAAACAAGGCCATCCACAGCGCGTCCAACGAGGTAATGCCGGATTGCAATCCCGCCGACTGGTCTTGAGAGGAGGCAGCGACGACAGCCGAAGCGCCAAGCTGAGCTTCGATGGATGCGCGTTGGATTTGCAGATAATCGGCAATACTCCACAGAAGACCGACCGCGGTCAGCGAAATGTTCATGTCCGCGAGCTGCAGCCCAAATCGGCCAACGGTGTCAATGCAAAGAACCAGGCACTCGACAGGCAAATTGCCCAGAAAATCACCAACAATCAATGAGACGCTTTGGAAGGCAAGTTTGATCAGATTCGCAGAGCCCGAGCCGGTTGAAGCAGAGGCGAGGCCGCCAAGACCGGCCGTCGATCCATCGAGGTCTTCGTCCGACACTCGTGTGGCGGCACCTGCGATCGCCAGGACAATCGTCCACGCTCGACTGAGCGATTGGCCACACGAATGGAGAATGAGCAACAGGCACTCGAGTTGCTTGGTCCGCACGTCGGCGTGGGTGAGGGGTGAGATTTGCAACAGGCTGCTCAAAATGGTCTCTTGGAGGACAAGATCGTCCACCAACGGCGTGGGCCGCTGCTCAAACGCCAAAGCAGAGTGCGCCAAGCGAGTGAGAACGTCAACGGCGTACTCGCGGACAACTTGATCGCTATTGTCGGCAGCTTCAACGAGATACCGCTCAATCAAGGGCCAAAAGACGCCCACCCGGTGCAGATTCACAGAGCCAAGCTCCCACATCCTGCACGTCACAAAGGCGTTTGCATGGCGATGCAGATCGCGAAGTTTGCTCGAGGGTGTCGAGCTGGTCAACAGCGACGACGAGGATGTCTCCTTGGAGACGCTGCCTGAAACCAACATGGACAGCGGCGAGCCGATTGGCTCATGCCCAATGAGACATAGGGCGTTGACGAGAGCTCGGACAGCAGAGTCATCCAGGTAGCAGGAGCTTTCAAACAAGCTCGAAAGCATGGTGGCGAGAACGCTCAGCTCAGATTGCGAGACGCCAGACTGGGCAGTTGCGCTCGAGCTGAGGTTCAACCGGTTGTCTGTGATGCGGCGATTGGACGACGCCAGCAACGCCAGCGATGTTTCAGAGCCTCCGACGATAGAATCGAGATGCATGAGGGTTTCCAAGGCAATAGACCACGATTCGCCCAGCAGGTCGCCCAAACAGTGGACAATGTAGAGCACCGCGCGAATGGCCGCAATATTCATGCTGTTGAGCACCCAACCGTTGCCGACAGGTGCGTTCTTGGCATCCTTATCTCCCGCATTGCCGCCGGTCGGCGCAGTCGCACCGCCGCTCGAGCCGCCGCCACCGACGCCGCCGCTGTTCGTGGAGGACATGGCACTTCCAACACCAGGAGACACGCCGCTTGCACTGGAAAGAGTGAGCGAGCCAACACCGACATGTGAGAAGGATGCCTGCGCGTGAATTGGAGGCGGCTCAATCCGCGGATCATAGTTGAACGGCAAGGAAAACTTGCAGAGCGAAACCAAAAAGGCGTCGCGTGGGGGCTTCATGTCCAAGGCCCCGCAGAGATTCGTGTATGTCTGATAGGATCGCATGATAGCCTGAGTGACATCGTCGTCTCGACTGCTCTGCAAAAGCTGCGCCAAGCTCTGCAAGATGGCGCCCCAGGTCGACTCGACCAGCTCGCGCCAAACTGGAAACTGGGCGTCGGTGCGGATCTCCTCCATGGTGCGCTTGAGATCCCGCATGAGAGACTCGTCTCCCGCAAGGCCGTTTGCGTCGACGACCGCTGTTGTGGCAGTGGGCGTGTGAGCGGACGAGGGCAGGGACCACATTGCCTTCTTGTCACCTTGGCTGTTTCGCAAAGCCCAGTGTGTGGTCACAATCGCTGAAAGACTCTCAATCAGCGTGATCATACACGCCAAGCCGATGGACAAGGCGTATGTTTCCGACACAACCGGGGCTTCCGTCTTGTCGCCCGATTCCAGACACAAATTCTTGGTCGACTCGGCCAGTTGCGGTTTCAGCGGGCCGCCGGCTCCGGCGCCAATCACTGCCATCGCGGTCGAGCTTGACAGCGCACCACCAGTCGTGCCACTCGAAGCGACCACGGAGGGGCCAAGAGGGGGCGTCAAGCCGCCGCTGCCCGCGTAAACTCCAGGTGGAAACGCCCCGAGCTGCTCTGAAAGACCAGCGGCCGCGTTGGCGAGGAGCGTTGTGATAAAGTTGGCAATGCCGGCCACCATATTTCGCAAAACTTGCGTCGCCTGTGGCTGCATGTCGTAGTGCTCACAAATGGCCATCAGCATGTCTGGATGTTGCACCAGTCCTCGCATGACTTCCAAGGCGACAGCACGCTGCCACATGGGCTTGTCGGGATCGAGGAATTTGACGAGCATTGATAGAAAGATTTCCGACTCGGTGACCTGGCAGACACACACACAAAAAAAATTGGTCAGCGCGTTTGGTTGCTCGACGGAAGCAACTGATAAACACACAAAACACCAAAGCGAATAATGCTGTACCAGAAGATTGTAAAATCTTTGCACTAGAATGAGCACAAGCTTCAGAAGACGGGTAGACACGGGGAAACTCGCGCGGTCTGCTGCAGCATTGTTGTGGTACTTCATGCCCGACGAAAACAGCTTGATGACGAGCGGGCAGACTTTTTCCTTGAGCAAAAAGCTGAGAGCTTCATGCTACCAGCAGATATTAGGGCGCAGCACCAAGAAGAAGAAAGACGAAACGAAAAAGATGAGAACAGTTGCCTCCTCAAACAAACGATGGAAGTCTGCCCAAACCAAAGATCAACCAACCTTCAAAAAGAGCTCGGGATGATTGCTCAGTGACGACTCGATCAGCTCAAGACCAAACGTTCGGGACATCTCAACAACGCCCACCAGCCATTGAGGAACGTCTCCGTTTGTGAGCCGGCAGAGATCGTTAAAAAGCAGGTAAGCATCCAAGGCGCACGGGCCAAGCGCTTTCAAGACACGACGATTTTTGGCGGCACCACCAGTGTCCGAGTCAGAGTCGTTGCCCAGTGCCAGTGTTGTTGCGATAGTCGAAGTGGGCTTTAGATGGCTTGTAACTAGCACATCAAAAAAACAAATACAAAAAGAAAAACACGAACAGCAACGTTCAATATTAACCACCCGTGACCTGTGATTGCGCATCGGGTAGAGCACATACCTTCCGGAGAGGTGTCTTCCAGTGTCACTCGATCAAACACAACTGTGAGAATTTGCCGCAGGGTAGCAGCGGCCGTGTTTGTGGTCAACGCATCCTTCTTAAAGTACAACCTAAAGCACACCACGATGACCTGTTGTTGGTTGACAATGCGCCAGGGGATTTGGAGTGGTAGGGTGAGCAGAGATGTGTCGCGAAGTGGAAAGACGCTGCCCAAAACCACAAAAAAAAAAACACAAACACATACCTTGGAAAGTGTTTCGTCATGGAGCAGAAGGCTGCTGGTGATGAAGGAGAGGCAGCATTGGAGGATTTTGACTTCTTCGAGGCTCTCTTCCATCAATTGCCAGAGCGTGTTAATGACGGGACCAACCATGGACTAAAAGTCAAAAGGCGACAGAGAGGGGTAAGTTTGCTTGCTTGTTGCTGACACTGTGGATCCAACTCGGGATCACGTTCTCACCTGGGAGATGGCATTGTGTGAGATGAGCTTGTGCACTGAATTGATGGCCACCTGCACGAGCTTTGGCGCTTTGGAGTCGCACGCCATCAGCAACGGAGCCAGCACCTCGTCTGTTTCGGCGAGCACTGCCAGGACGACGATGATGACCAAGAAGTGAGTTCTCCGACCCTCGCATTCACTCAATATCGCCGTGAGACGTTTTGCAGTACCTTCGTTGAATGGCTTGGACGACGAACTTGCCGACGCGACAGAGCGCAACCTGAGTATGCCATGTTCGGCCGCCTGCCAAGCCATAAAAGTGAGTTGACGATTCCCCGCAAGCCACCACTTGCATTTTTTTTCGATCGATTGAAAGTGATTGAGCGCTTGTCGCAGCGATTGCATTGACATTGGGCAGAAACCGAACTTTTTTTTTTTTTTTTTTTTTTTTTTTTTTTCATCGTTCTCCATTGACTTTTTGCACTTTGACGGGTGGTGTTGGGGTTTGCCTTCGCAATGGCAAGCTCGCACCAAGACGAGCAGACATGCGGCTGTGCCAACAGTGAAATCATCCACATCACCATCACCATCATTGTCGCTTGGACGCAGAACGGTGACCAACAACTCGGACAACTCGGACAACTTGGACAACTTGGACCATTGTGCGAACTGGGGCTCGCATCGAACCCCCATATCGACCATTTTGTATGTCGCAGGTGCCCAAAACCAAGCAGGAAGACGCCTGTCACTCTCCCATCGCTCTCCCATCATCGCTCTCCTTCGCTCACTGTTGCAATGGACGGTCCACACACACACACACACACAAAAAAAAAAAAAAAAAAAAAAAAAAATCTGCTTTGAGTTTGGTTGGTGTTGCTTGATCCAAACAACTCACGTCCTTGACGGTTGGGTGCTTCTTCTTGGCCTCGGCCGAGATGGTGCGCAGATCGGTCTGCAACACTTCCAGCAGCTGCCTACCGAGGGTCGCAGACATTGCTGTTGGGAGGCGGGTGGTGAAGCAAAACAGAGGGAAGAGGAAGACTGAATGAAATGAAAGGGTCTCAAACCGGTTTGGATGTTCACCAATCCCTAATGCTCCAGTGCTGAGCAACGCACACACTCCAGCACTAGACAATCAGAAGAGAACAAGATCAAGTGCAAAATGGCGTGCGGCTTTATTCACAGAAGCAAAAAAAAAAAACCAACACGCAAATACTGCTCCTCAGCTCACTCTCGCTTTTTCTCAGCTCCAAACGGCCAAATGAGCGACGCACCGACCAAGCAAGGACCATCTGCGTTCCTCCGACACATCATTGGCAAGCCCGTCGTGGTCAAGCTCAACTCTGGCGTCGAGTACAAGGGTGAGCGCGTCGGACGTTTTTGGGACCAAGTGGAAGGGCAATGCTCAAACGACGACCTTTTGTATTGCTTTTTCGGAATGGGCTGTAGGACTCCTGGCGTGCCTCGACGGCTACATGAACATTGCGCTCGAGCAAACAGAAGAGTACGTCAACGGGCAGCTCAAGAGCAAGTATGGCGACGCCTTCATCCGAGGAAACAATGGTAACGGATGGCAAAACCAAACAACATGCTCATCCCCTCTGTGTCGTTTGGGGCTTGTGTGTTGGGCCCCCATCGTGCTACGACAATGCTGAAGCAGTTCATGGTGCAGTGATGGAGTTCCAATTGGGAGAAGGAGGCCGATCTGCTGTTTGGGAGGGGGGCAGTTAGTCAGTTGTCAGCCACGCACTCGCGCACTCGCTTGTCCTCATGGATGCCATCAAGGCCTGAAGCTCACTTTAGTATTGCTGAATTGTATGTCTGATTTTGATTTGCCTCGCTGACACGCAGTTCTTTACATTAGCGCAAGCAAGAAACGCTCTGCATGAACGTCCCTGCATGGATTGTTTTGGTTCGACAACTTTCAGCCATCCCGAAAATGTACAACATACAGTCGAGCAGAGATCTACACAAACCAAAAAAACCCATGCCCTTGCTATTATTCACATCCAGGCATACATTGACAACATCAACTCTAAAACTTGATCCACAAACAAAAAAGAAAAACACAAAACACGAAACCCGCTTCTTTCGTGGCTTTTCTACCGAGAATCTGATGGCGGCGCGAAAGGATGTCGCACCAGCCCATCATACCAGTCGTCTGGCAAATCGCGTAGCAAAACCACAGCTAGCGTGATGATCGCGCGGGCATCCAGGTCGGGAAATTGCCGACTGAGCGACCGCCGCGTCTTCTCGTTGGAAAGTAGCTTGTCCCGAACCAGAATGAGCTGTGCCACAACGCAAGGTATGTTGCAGTGGACACCGAACGCTAAAAGAAAGTCCCACAGCTGCAGCACCTCGTGCAACGGCGGCGTGCAAGCAGAAAGTGTCATCACGGGCGGCATAGCGAACAACTGTCCGGTGGATTGGTCAGTGCAACGTTCACTCGGCCCAACCCTTTTCTCTTTCTTGGCCCTCTCCAAGGACCCCGGCCCAACACATCCAAATCCAAAAAAAAAAAAAAAAAAAAATCCAACCGTCATTACCTGCGTCTCGACGGTTTTGGTCAGAGTCTGATGCAGCTGAGGATCGACACGCTGAAGAATCTTGTCCACAAGAGACATTCCAGCATGGACACCATCCAGAGTCGGCTGGACGTACGCGGGGAGGCAAGTGAGGATGAGGCGGGAAAAGCAGTAGAAGGCATCAAGCTCTGGCATCACATATAACAAGGGTGCGAGCAGAACATTCATGCCCTGCACGTAGGAGATTCGGAATCGGTCAGCGTTGGGAAGACCAAGATCCGTGGGCGGTCGTTGAGGCAGTGAGCCGCCATTCTGAGCTGCCGCGCCAGGTGTAGAAGCCGCTCCGCTATTACCGCTGCCGCCGCTGGGCGGACTTATTGGCGATGGCGCAGAGGGAGTGTTTGTGACAAGTACAGAGGAGGGACGGGATCCTGGCGGCGGTGGCTGCGAGTTGGCGAACGCATTCAGCACGCGAATGAGCTCTGCCTCTGTCACGATCGAGCTGAACGTCTTGTCCGAACGCAACGTGCGGAACGTGTCGTTTCTAATCTTCTGGTGGACGTGAGCCTTGCCCGCCTTGACCAATGCAATGTAATACTCTGCGTCGAGTCGCTGCACGCCCAGCAGCACTTTCCAGATGCGTCCTCGCAGTGTGCAGGACGTGCTGTTCGCTACCAAAAAGCAACAAAACAAGTCCGGTATCAAAGTGAGGTACTTTTCAGATGCTGTTCTTGGTTTGGATGGTTGGTTGTGCGGGGAGTGTATGGAATGGCATTGCAGCAGGTATGAAAAACCGTTTGCCTGCTCAAACCCTCACCCAACCCCACCCGTGAGCCACGACTTGATCGCCCCGCCGCGCCTCCTTCAGCTCTAGGAGCCTCATATCCCCCTCCCCTGTCTTTTGCGCTCTTGTCTCGCTTTGTGGCGAAAGTGTGAACGGATTCTGATCCGGCTCTTGCTTGTTGGTGTGTGCGCTCTGCTCACCTCGCCCGAGCTGGCCAGAGGGCTCTTCGGGGATGCCGTGCTTGAGGATGAGGTCGCGCAGCTGGGCTAGCAGTGCGCTGGTGTCCTGCGGGTTGGTGTTCCCTTGCTCCAGCAGCTGCTCGTACTTGGCCCGCAGACTGCTCGCATCGAGCGACAAGTCCGCCTGCATTTTTGGTTAGAAAAAGACTGATTGTCGTTCGAATCAATCAATCCATCGGACTGGGGAATCTTAGAATTTGCAAGTGGAGGGAAACTATCATTTCGTGCATCTTCTCAAAGAGGAGGAAGAACGGAAAGCCAGGAAGGATGGAGAGACGAATCTCAGAGCCGAGGGGAAATGCACACAACACAATGTGTGCAACACAGTGGTCGCCCTTCGGGCTAATAGAATCAACTCTCAAATAAACGGGTGTCCCCTCAACACGGGCGGAAGTTTCAGCTTGAAGTTGACCCCATTGTCTCGACACTCGAGAACTTCGAAGGGACAAGCGTTGACAACACTACCAGGTACCCTTGTCTCTGGCTGTACATTCACGCTGAATGTCCGTTTCCAGTCATTCTTTCACGACCACTGGATTTGTTTCTTGGTCTGCTTTGCATTTTCACTGTTTTTCTTGGTAAACGAGACGACGATTTGTTGTTGTTTGGAAATTTGAAAAATCAAATTCTGATTCGCAACTGAACGTAACGTTTTATCGGTTTGTTTGCGCTCTGATTTCGCCGCCCGTGTCGCTGTTGGGTGGCGAGCACTGGTTGTTGTCTATGCAAACACCGCCCCCTCCACAAGTGAGCGTTGGAGCGATGGTTGTGAGTGCGAGTGAGCCGACCAAGATTAAGGGTTTGGGTTGAGAAGTGGACATTGCCGCCGCCCCACACGTCCCCAAACCTCGCCTCGCCTGGTCGCTCGATGATACAGCGGTAGTCCTCGCAGCGATTGCTTGGGGAGGGAGGGGGGTGACGTTGGGCCGCGGGGAGGGGGGCTTTCTTCTGCTGAACTGTGCTTCAAATTGTTGACGATAATCAACATCCCTCGACTCTCTTTCCCACTGCTCCCGCATTCGCCCCCCCCCCAGTGCTCCTTCCCTCCCCCCCCTTCCTGTCGCTGATATGAGCCTCGTATGAGTGCGTGCGTGCGTCCATGCATCTGTGTGCGTCTGTGGACCTCTCCTCCTGCGTTTTTAGTCCGTGACCCAGCCCCAGTTCCGATAATTTCGCATCTGTCTTTCTCGCCATTGGTCGGCTTCTTTGCCATATGATCTGCGTTGTGCTTTTTGCAGCATCGCCTCCCTTCACTTTTTCACTCTGGATTGTTGCTTCGACTCACGTGTTGCTTGTGTTGCTTTTTTGCTCGATGGATTGGTTTGGTGTGGCTGTAGGGGTGTTTGCGCCGACGAAATCCGACGAAATCCGACGAAATCCGACGAAATTCAGTCTGCTTGACGACCGACTCAGGCACCTCGTTCGGGTCGGTTCGGGTTGGCTCGTAGAATACCCCAGCACACACACACACCCCTCCAACAGACACGTAGCCAGAACGGACATCACAATCGAGCAACACAGACCCCCGAGCACTCGAGTCATGTCGGCGCTGGAACAATTCAATCCGAGCTCGTCGCTCGATCGCACCTCTAGCAAGGAAAGCATTGCAACGCTATTGGCAAACCCGAGTGCTGCTGGATCGGCATTCACATCTCGCCCATCGTCGCTGGCAAGCACTGCAAGCGCTGGCAGGAAAATGGGCTCGATTGATGATATCCATGCAGCACTCAGTGCTCGACTCGGCGATGCGAAAGACGCGACAACGCCTTCTGGCGCCGGAAAGTCCACCTTACACAGCGATGAAAACGTGTCCTCCTCAACTCCAAACCGGATGGAGGCCGCCATCGCGGAAGCGCCGGAACAGGAGCACAGCGAAGCCGCATCATCCCCCGACCAGCAAGTGGCACTGCTGAGCAGGTCTGAGGCTGTAGCGCTGGCCAAGGCCCTGGGTCTGGCAGATTTTAGTCCCACCACGCTGTCGCAGATTGACGCCATGTCTGCAACGCTGGCAGAGCTGGTGAACGACAAGTCCGCTTCTGAGGACGATGCTGTCCGCGTTCAGGAGGCGATGGGCCTCATTTCCATCCTACGGCATCGGTTTGTGGAATGGTACACGCTCGCGCCCTTGCTGCAATTGCTAGATAAAGCACAGAGCGAGCTGAGTGAACTCCAGGCGCAGATTGACCACTGCTTTGAACCACCTGCCTCGCTCGAAACGAGCTACGTCAATCAAACAAAGCTGGTACGAGCCATTCAAGGACGCGTTGACCGGGTCCATCTGCGATACGCACTAGCAATGCGAGCTCGCGGCCAGTCATCCGTGCCAATTCCCGCTGCTCCATTGCGCGTTGTACCGGGCAAGTCCATGGCATCCGAGGCGTACGAGCAAGCGTTGGAGACTGAGAATCCAACCGCCCAGCCGGTGCACGACCAAATGCTCTTGAATATGCAGTTGCTGAAACTATCATCGCCGCTGACGCGATATATTGTGGACTCTGCAACCAGCAGTTCGTCGACTCAAACCCGGCCAGAGGTCGTCACCCCACTCGTTGCGGCCCCTGGTCTCTCAAACTCTGCCGTCATCGACACCAGCAACTCCCCGATGGCGCCGTCAACGTTCAACTCGAGCTCACGAACTGCTTCTCAGTCCTCCTCTTCTTCGTCTTCTTCCTCGCAGCGTCCGAAGTCGGCCTTTTCGTTTTCCATGCTCAAACGCAAAGACAAGGACAAGAGCAAAGACAAGGACAAGGACAAGGACAAAGACAAGGACAAAGACAAGGACAAAGACAAGGACAAGGATATGGACAAGGAAAAAGACAAGGAAAAGGACAAGGAACTCGACAAGCCCTCATCTGCTTTCGTCTCAAGTCCCGCTCCACTTCTGGCCACCCAATCTTGGGCTTACTTTTATAACACGTCGGGCCGCACCTGCTTTGTTCACAACCTTTCCAACCGTCGAGACTCGGCAAGCTCTGACGCATCGAGCCAGCATCGTCGAAACCCGTCCGAATCGTCCGGTTCGACTTCATCGAGCGCGGTGCAACAAGATTCGCCTGGGCGGCGAAGGTCGTCGGCCGCCAGCTCTGCAAGCTCCGGTATGCTTGTTCGTGCACATTCGTCGGCGTCCATGCGCCCAGACCTGGACACTGGTCACGCTTTAGAGTCCCTCGCTCTGCTGGCACGAGACCCAGTCACATACAAGATGCTGTGTGCGGCGGGCAAAGCAGAGCCCCTCGTGTCGGGTCAGTCGTTCCAACCCCGAAACTTGGACTCTTTGTCGAACAGCGCCACGCCCAACCCTGCCTCGTCTACTGCCTCCGGAAGTACCGGATCTGTCTCTGCCGCCGAGCAGTACTTGCGACACCGAATGTTTGCCGCATTCCAGCGGCCCAGCAGTCCAGCAGAGTTTGTTGCAACCGAAGACCTTTCTTCTCGAGACGATGCGCCAGTCGCAGCGTTCCGATCCTCTGCGTCGTCGATGCGGCCAATTGCCATGTTTGCGACTTCTGCCGACCTTTCCGACATGAGAGGTCGAGCGTCGTCGCATTCTCGCGTTGGTGCTGCGGGCAGTGGCCATAGCAGCGGATCTAGCTCGCCAGCATCCAAAGTCGGGCGCAAGACGTGGCTTCCAAATGCGGTCAAGGATAAGCTATTTGACACGCTCTTCTCAGCCCGTGGGAAGGAGCGGCCGGGCTCCCCTGGTTTGCTGGGAGCCGGCTCCTTGCATGGGAACGCAGCAGCAGACCACCAGCAACTACTGCACCGCCACGCCGTCATTATTGGCGATCCACTGCTAACGCTGCTTTGCAACAATCCACGATTTGCGCTCGCTGTCTGTTGCCATGTCGCTCCCGAGCGGTTGGATGCATTCATTCGCGCGCTGCTCTCCATTCTCGAGGCGCAGAACGCAGCGAGCTCGCTGGTGTATCTTGCTGTCGAGCAAGAGTTTGCCGAACCCACGCTGCAAGATCCCTCAGAGCTGTTTCACCGGCTCAGTGTGCCGGGCAAGATTATCAAGGCTTACATTAACAAGATTGGACATACCTATCGCATTCACGCCCTACATTCCATTGTCGACTGGATTGCGACCAACGACCACCTCAACTTTGACGCCACAGCGCCAACGCCACCTCCAAGTGCTGCGCAACCGTTGTCCCAGCAGCTCCCGCCCTCCGCCCCTCGAGATGAGCCCACCGCTCACAGTGACACTCGCAGCTCTTTCTTGGACACTCGGCAAGGGGAGGAGATGGATGGCGAGGCTGAGTATGATCGAAGCTCCTTCGTGGCGGCGGTCCGCCCACCCAATTCCTTCACGATGAAACGGTCCAGCTCCGTGCCTTCCTTGTCGTCGGACTCGGAAGCCTCGTCACTCAGGGAGTCCATGACATCGCGCTCCGGATGGAATACTCCCGGAGGCGTCTCGCGAACGGTGGATGACAGCGGCGCCGCGACCCATGAAACGTCACGCATTGGTTCGCTGACACTCAGCTCGGCTATGGCTGCCAAGCTGAGTTCCAAGTTTTTGACCGCCGCACGTTTGGGCGCGTTTTCTGCTGACACGGCGGCAGAGCACCAGCAGCGTCTGCTACAGCAGGCCGCGCTCGCTTCTCTGGGGGATAAAGACGCCAGGTCGATAGATGCGATGGTGCTCGGGGTGGATGTCTCGCCAAGTGCCTCGCGAACGAGTCTGAGTGGCACTCGAAGCAGCTTGGTGGCGCCAAAGATGCCGACTACCACCACCGCCAGAGGTTTGCCTGCCGTCTCCCGCGCCGAGTCGAATCAGGCGATGACGGCCGATGCAGGCGACTCAGCCCGGCCATCCCTTCCTGGGGCAACCAAACGAAACCAGAACGACACGTCCCTGGAGAGCTGCGCCAAGCAGGCGCTGGAAGTCATCATGAACTCGATTCGCGCGACGCCACTCGTCATTCGAGATCTGTGTCACGTCATGTATGTGGCCGCCTGCCGGCGATTTGGCGAAAAGGAAGCGGTTGCGGCAGTGGGAAGCTTACTGTTTCTCCGGTTCTTTTGCCCGGCCCTGTGCGTTCCGGAAAGCTGTGGTATTGTGCTGACGGTCGAAAACATGCGGGCGAATGTCACCATGATGCCTGCCGCCGCGGCCTCCAATGATCCGAGCTCGTCTTCGGGAAGTAACGACGCTTTGGACGGATCAAAGGCAGCTGCTGACTCTGGCGCAAACAGCGGAGCCACCACCCCGGCGGGCACTCGGACGGCTGCCCTCTCCCAGTCGCAACGCCTCTTTGTGACGGATAATGTCGATGCGGCCGCGCTGCACATGGATGTTGCATCGTCTAGCATGATTCCAGCCGTCCCAGTGACCCCGCGCCCCATCAAGCCTGTTGCACGTCGCAACCTCATGCAAGTGGCCAAGGCACTCCAAGCCGTTGCGTCAAACTCTGGGTCGAGCCGCAAAGAGACCGTTTCGGCCGCACTCGGCGCGTTTGTCGACCAGCAAGCAGCCCCATTCTCCCGCTACATTAAAGAGCTCTGCAACGTGGCTCCGGCACAAGCCACTCGCTCGCACTTTTTGCAGCACGTGCGCGCCTACTCGGCAGCGCTAGACTTGCCGGATACGGCAATCATTGTCGAAACCCTGGCGGCAACCCTGCCTTTGTTCTGCTCCAGTTTGCTGCAACACGAAGAGCCTGTCGTTTTCCCAGGCCAGAGCGAAGCCCAAGCGCAAAGCATTATACCAGTAGCACAAAGTCAAGCTGCTCCGGAAACGGAACTGGCCGAAGAAGAAGAGCTCGAGCCCGAGGAGCGGCTGTTGCTCTCGACCACCAGCAGTGGGTCGGCGATTCCGTTGCGTTTGTCTGCAACGGGCAGCTCGGCTGCAGCCATTGCGGCCGCCGCGTTGCGCCGCCGCTCGCAGATGGCTCGTCGCAGCAACTCTGTCACGACTCTCGGGCCCGTCGCGGTCGCGATGCCGACGAGCAATGAGTTTTTCTTTCCGGAGCTCGGAGAGACCAACTTGTCATCCTCGTCTGCCAACGGCAGTCGTCACTCACTCAAGACAATCGACTCGCAAGTCGACCTCAGTGTTGGCAGCTCGGACGTGCGGTCTGATTCGGCTTCGGGAGGCATTTCGCCCCACAACCGCTCCAGGTCTGCCTCTATTCAGTCGTTCAACTCTGGTGGTCCCGTGCTTAAACGTAGACGGTCGTCTAAGCTTAGTTTGGGACAGCAAACCCCGACGAAAGCACTTCTCCTACCTCGCACCAGCAGTCCATTCGCGTCGCGTGCCAGCCTAGTTGTGCAAACAACACCAGCACCGGGTACCACAGCCACCACCTACACTTATGACGTTACGACCGAGTTCCGCGAAGAGCTCATGCATGTCGCCGCAGAGTGCGAGCACTTGTTTGCCCTGCTGGACGAAGAATGCTACGTTCCTCGTCTCTATTTGCAAGATGATCAGGCATCGGTGGCCTCGATCGTCGCATTGCCGCCTGGCACAGATACCCCACATGACGGGCCGGCGACTGAACAGCCTCAGTTCTCGCTCACACCCCATCGATTTGCCGTGCTCGTAGCCCACTTTGATCCGTGCCTTCCTCGCGCAAACCGCAGCTTCTGCGATTCCATTGGGGCGGACAGCTACGCTGCCCTTGATGCGACAATCCGAAAGCGCAACGACGTGATTACCGAACTCATCAACACCGAACGGCAATTTGTGCGTGACCTCTGCCTGACGCTCGAACTCTTCTACCGCTGCATCCGACACTGCGTTCCGCCAGCGGTGCTTCTTGCCCTTTTTAACAACATGTACGATCTGTTCCCGGTGCATGTCAAGTTGCTGGAAGAGCTCATGGATGCGCAGAACAAGAGCCCGGCGAACGTCGTTGGCATTGGGCAAGTGTTCCTCCGCTGCCTGCCCTATTTTGAGGCCTACCGTCACTACTCTCCACGCCAAAACTCGGCCCATGCCGTGTTGCAAGAGGAACAGCGAACCAACCCCAGGTTTAAGCTATTTATTGAGGTGAGTCGGCTGTTTTTGGTTTTTTGTTTTTTTGGCGGGTTTTTTTTTTGTTTATTTGTTTGTTTGTTTGTTTGTTTTATGGTGCATGCCACTTGATTGTTGTGCGCCGCTGATAATGTACAATCCATCCGAATAGGAGGCGGCTAGTATCCCCAAGGCTCGGAAGCTGGCGTTTTGGAGCTTCTTGACACATCCGCAGCAGCGTATCATGAAGTACCCGCTATTGCTTGAGGTTCGTAACGTGGGGGTGGGGTTGCGTCGCGAGCTGTTTTGTTGTAGTTGTTCGTGTTGTTGTTACTATTATTGCGGATGTTATTGGAGGAGCTGCCAAGAAGATAGATGGGACATCAGACTCACTTTGTTTTGGCCTTTCCTTCTCTGTGTTGTTCCGTTCTTTGAAAAAGCAAATCATCAAAACATACAAGTCAAGCGAGCCTGAACCTGAGCGCGAAGCGCTGCAGCTCGCGCACCGCGGCATGAACACCCTGCTGGCCGAGTTGAACGAGTTTGCCATGCACACGACAAATCCGGCTATTTTAGCCTTCGATGTCGACATCCGCCAAAACAGCTCTGTCAGTGCGCGTGGCATCCAAGAACTTGCCAAGGTAGAGCCAGCTGTTGCCGACATTCGTCGCACGCGCACGAACACACCCATTCACCCGCACTCTCACACTCACTCACACTCTCGCCGCTTTCCTCGTGTTGCGTCAACTCACTCGGCATCTTACACTGGATGATTGTCTATCGCAGCTCCTGGAGGTGGAAAAGGCAAAATTGCAGGACCTTGGGCGCGAAATGGAGTCCATGTTTGAGGTGCCGCAGACGCTGGAAGATCGCTTTACGGCGCATCGCCAGCTTGTGCGAAAGCTGGAAACCGAGTTCAAGCGGCTCACAGAAGGTCCTTCGGTCAGCTCTCAGCCGTCGACGCCGTCCCCCGCACCGCCCGTCCGAACTGAGATGACCAAGCTCGAGTCCCTGTTGCTGGTACGAGTGGTTTGGCGGGGTTGTTTGGGGGCGTTGGGCTGTCAGCTGTTCCTTACTGCTCGGTTTGCTCTTCTTCCCAACATGTCAACCTTTAGGAACACGAAACGGCCACACTCCACCTTGCTTCTCTCGCCGATGAAATCGATTTGTGCTTTGAAGCCCCGGAAGATTTGTCGCATCGTTACGACGTGCAGGCGAAACTTGTCAAAAAGCTGACTGCCCAGCTGCAAGAGTATAGCGACGCTTAGGATGCTGGGCTTCACGGGTGTCCACTGCACAGGTTCCAATGGTTGAGACCAAATGCCAGTTTCAATGTTGTCATATCACTGAACTTTATTGTGTTCGTTGTTCGACAAAGAACACTACAAATACAAATGTTGTAAGCTCCTGCTCATAAAAACAGTCGCCAGCAAGACAAGACTACCATGCTTTCAGTGTGACTTTTCGAGAATCGAGCCACGACGCCAACCCGAGCACGCACAGCATGTAGAAGAGCAAAACAACATTGGCAATGTGATCGGGGACATCGACGGTAATAATTAACTTGTTGGTCAAGCCTGTCAATAGGTTTCCCTGGTGCGCCATTCGCCAAAACACCAAAAGTCGGAATCGAAAAGAGAAGCAAACAAGTGAGACAAAACCAAAACAAGGAAAAAAAACCATCGCTTGCTCGCCTAGCAACTGACCAGCAGAAAAACAAACAGCTGGTTGCGATTCACTGCTCGCTCAAGCGGTGTGGTGTATTCACTCGACGTAGCGGGCGCCAGGAACGAATGAATCAGGTCGCCGACGGCGAAAATGAAAATGACCACCTCATTGTACAGGACGACCCAGCAAATGTAGGATGCATTCACCTAAATGACAACCATGAAAGTTGACCGAGTACCGCCGATGAGCACAAACCATATCGCGCTGAAGGCTGGGGTCTGAGGGGCGGAGGTTTCTTACCACGCGGCGCGAAGGTGGATCCAGTCCACATACGCCTGGAAGAATTGCGTAGATGGTCGCCAAAAGAGCAATGCATCCGGCTGCTCGGAAGAGTGCCAGACCGCGCGACGCCTCTCGCAGATGAATTCCGGCACCATGAGCGCGACCCAAGAAGAACAAGCCGAGGTATCCCATCAATGATATCACACCTTCCTTGTTTGCGGCAATCCACGAGGAGGAGCGGTCGGCGTGGAGCACGAAATCCAACAGTCCAAATCCTTTGAGCAAGACCTCATGGGCTGCCAAAGTCAAAAAGGAGGAGAGAGTGTGTGGCAACAATTGAGAATTTTGGGCAAAAACTCGCTTGCGCGAGTCCAGATAACAGGTGGAAAAACGTCAAACCTCCTACCAAAAGCAAGGAACACTCCGGCCAACCACCAGCCCATCCATGGACGGGCATTGTCTTTGAACAGACTTGGTGTCCGTGCCAAAAGTCTCGTGAACAAGCCATCCAGAAGCAAAATGCCGGCAAGGGTGAGGAAAAAGTTCCAATGCACGCCATACTCTGACACGTGCTCGTGGTAATCGGTGGCCTTCACAGCCAACGTGCGCAAAGCACCGAGAATGAGGAGCGGAATCGTGCGGGGCACAACCGCGGCCAACGAGTTTGGCGGCTTGGAAGCAAGTCCAGCGCTGAAAGCGAGCGAGCCGACGCCCGCATCCATCTGGAATTGTCAGATCAGTGGGCAAGCAAATGGCGTGAGGAACACGGGGGCCAAAGAAGGCAAGGATGAGGGGGAGGGGAGAATACGAAGATTATCTCGCGAGTTTTTGGTTGTTGGGCAGTGATTCAACAAGCGACGCTTGCTGCCATCGAAAAGAACACCACCAAGTACCTACCATTGACGTTCCAAACGTTTCAGTTTTGGCATGGTGCCGCGGAAACACACGAAAATCCACTGCAAGAATCACAAACACGATCGAGACCATTGCCATCGCTCGATACGCAGCAATCACGCTGGATTGTGGCTTTCTCGTTGCTGTGGTCTCGGGTGCTGGTACTGTAGGAGCTGACTTTGGGGTCGCTCTGAACCATGTTCAGGTGCAGAATGGCATGAGTTTCCCGCCAGACGGCTTAATACTGTGCTCGTGAAATCTTACCGTTGCCGCAATGGCTGCGGTGAATACGGCCGGAAAGACCCTATGGCAACCAGAATAGCTAACGCACATACCTCGGCAAACACCAATGCTGGCACTTGATCGGGGAGAGTGAACGCCAGCAGCATTGGAAGAACGACGCAGGCGAAATCGGCAGGAAATGTGGCTGCACATTCCTCGGGCTTGGTACCATTGCCGGACTCGCGTTTTCGTCGGGATGGAGTGGCGAGTGCTCTTGAGGCTGCAAAGGTGGCGCGTGCGCAACTGAACAGGATTGGGCCGAGCTGAGTTTGGGAGTTTCAGCCAAAACCAGAACTATGAGCGGCATTGTCAACCACACACACACACACACACACACTCCGCCGTCAAAGCTCCAGCCCTCACCTGTGCAGCCAGGACAGTCAATTGAATGTGCCACTCGTTGCTCCCGACATGACCCGAGACAAACGCCTCATGGCGATCCTTGTCGCTGATCATTCGCAGCAGCCCCTCAACGCCACCAAAAAAGCAAGACTGACTCGCACAAGTGGCATCACACGAATCAAGTGCATCAAGTGAATCAAGTGGGCTTTTCCTTGTGTTTGATTGGACATTGATGAGCGATTGTGGGCAGAGTCAGCAAAAAAAAAAAAAAAAAAGGCTTTGAAGCAGATGGGGTTGGCTGAATCTTTGATGATCTAGCGATATGCCCACTGGTAGCTTTTGGCACTCATAGTTTAGTGGCAGAACTCCAGATTGTGGCTCTGGCGACCTGAGCTCGATTCTCAGTGAGTGCAGCTTTTTTTTTTTCGATTTTCAGCTTTTTTTTTTTTTTTTTTTTTTGTCCTGCCAACCTTGTTTCATCTTGCAAAAGCCCAACCAAGAGCTTTCGGCACTCATAGTTTAGTGGCAGAACTCCAGATTGTGGCTCTGGCGACCTGAGCTCGATTCTCAGTGAGTGCAGGCTTTTTTTTTTGACTTTTTTTTTTGTTTTTTTTTTTTTTTTGTTTTTTGATGTGTTTGTTCATTACAACAACTGTATCAGAATTCGTACTCCTGGACTGGTGTTGCTTCTCCCGTGATGTGCTACAAGCCTCTGTGTTGCATAATGTACGAAAAAGACTTTATCAGACCTTCAGAGTGTTTGTAGAATAGCTCAACAATGGTTAACCATCAAAAGCAAACGGGTCGCTTGAAGCGCGCCCTGCCGCGCCATTGAGGCCGATACAGCCCACACCGATGCTTTTTTGAATGGCAAATATGTTTTACTTTGACTTTATTTTGACTTGGAGATGAGAGCGATGAGCTGGCCGTTGGCATCTGACGCGCAGGTGTGACCAGCAGACGACGTCCTTCGGTGATCGTACTGCCACCAATGGCAGTCGAGGAATTTGATCGGCAGACTCGTGAGCTCGTGGATGGTGCGTAGGTGACTAGGCAGGTCACGTCGGTTGAGGAATACTTTTTTGTATTACTGTCCAAGGGATCTGACAGCGTCAAAAGCGCAAAAGCTCGCAGACGCGTGCCATCATTTCTGCTGCACAAAGCACTTGTCGATCATTTGCAACTCCAGGCTGGATTTACAGGACGCCAACAACATTTTTATCTGTCGCAGAGGACGAGAATCATCTTTGGAGAGCCGAGTCGGGCTCGCGCGGAAGTGAATCGCCTCGGATTAGCTCAAATCGGTGCGTGTGCCAGGGTCCGAACATCATTAAGTCGAAAGTAAAGCCCAGCAAGAATCTCCAACTCAAAACGAATGTGAACAGATCGAGATGGCGGCCGATCAGTCTGTTTTTGTTTGTTGATTGTGTTTGTGAGTTTTCTTGTTTTGTTTTTTGGATTCTCCAGTTTTGCAACAACGGCAGTAAGCAAACGCTCATTGTCCAACCCAGGCAACAGCCCACACTGAGCTTTTGAATTGCTCACTTCCATTGAAGTGCTCTCTGTGTCTGTGTCGGCAGTGAGCGGCTCAATGAGCGAGAAGTGTCGTCGGCTGAGCTCGGGATGAAGCGCACGATGCGTTCTTTGTCCTTTTTATTTTTTTTTGCTCTCCCCGCTCCGCCCCCGCGGCTGATCCTCGGACGCGTCCTGTTACAACAAGATGATAAAATTGAACGGAAGAAGTGACAGAGTGGAACTGCGAAGACAGCAGCGAGCAGCCCGTACCAAAAAAACAAAATTCAACCGAAAACCAAACAAAATACAAAACATGGAAAACTCTAGAATGGGCGAGCTGATGCGTCGCCAGCTTGCCCCGGCCCTCTCGAAGGCGCGAAATTGTCAACGCACACACAGGAAATGAACAAGAGGCATGCGTTGGGAGAGGGCAGACCAGGCGACACGCTTCATTGCAGAGGTGTGATGCGGAGAACGGGAAACCGCAGGAGTGTGGCCGACACACGCGCGCCCTGCTGGACAAATCCGAGAATCCATCCATCCACACAAACGCAAACAACACACACCTGACTCTCAGCACTGTGAAACAACACACACCTGACTCTCAGCACTGTGATGTTGCGAGCAAGTGTCGTTGGAAATCTTGTGCGCTCATTCTGTCAATGTCTTCTGATTCGCAGCACTTTTGCAAACAAACATGCCACGAGAAGGATTTGCCTATGGTCTGCTTCTGCTGATCGGCGTAATGTGCCACGTCCAGTTGGCACAAGCAGTCGACGCTTGCACCGCGTGCACTTGTTCTGCAACCAAAGTCGATTGCACTGGCAAATCTCTCACCGCCATTCCAACCGGAATCCCAGGTACCACAAAAGAACTGTAAGTGGCAGCCTGTTGGTTTAGACCGGAGATTGGAAGCATGGCCCTTCTGACTTGACATTTGGTCGATAGGTATCTGACGAATAACCTGGTCACCGACATTTCTGCAACCGCATTCACCGGCCTGAGCGCGCTGACGCGATTGTAAGCCAAAAGAGACAGGATGAATCACACGCACCAACTGCTCACTCTTTTACCGCCGCCCCCCTTCCCCCATCCGCAGGGATTTGCAACAAAACCGGATCACCAGCATTTCTGCCAACGCATTCACCGGCCTGACTGCGCTGACCATATTGTATGCAAACAAAAGACATAATGAATCCAACACAAATCAAACGACTCACTGTTTTGCCGTGTAGGAATCTGGGCTCCAACCGGCTCCCCAGCATTTCCGCAAACACATTCACAGGCCTGACTGGGCTGAGTACCACATTGTATGCAAGCAACGGCAAGAAGAGTTTGAACACACAAACTACTCACTCGTTTGCGAATCGACCGTAGAGATCTATCGAGCAACCTGATCACGGCCATTGCCATAAACGCGTTCGCGGGCCTGCCTGCGCTGCAGTCCTTGTAAGCAAAAGCAAAGACAGGACTCCTCCACGAATGGCTCACTTGTTGGCGACGATCTTTAGATCTCTGCAACTCAACCAGCTCAGCAGCATTCCTGTAGGAGCATTCTCAGGGCTCCCTGCGCTGACCCAATTGTAAACAAGCAAAGACTCAAAGTGTGCCAGACAACAGGCTCACTCGTTTGCGACTTCATTTGTAGGGGTGCGCATCGCAACCTGTTCACCAGCATTCCCGTAGACGCACTTTCTAGCCTGACTGCGCTAAAGTCACTGTAAGCAAGCAAAAGCACGAGGCTCACACTCAAACGGCTCACTGTTTGGATCGGTAGATATTTGTGGGGGAACCAGATTACCAGCATTCCTTCATCTGCATTCAGCAGCATGCCTGCGCTAATGCTCTTGTAAGCCAACAAAGACACCTCTCTCTCTCACACACACACACACAAAACGGCTCACTCATTCGTAACACTCTTGATAGGCAACTGCAGTCCAATGCAATCACAAACATTCCCGCCAACGCATTCACCGGCTTGACTACGCTGTTTTCCATGTACACAAACAAAACACATGATTCATCACGCACACCAAACTGTTCACTCGTTGGCAACTTGATCTGTAGGCGACTCGACAACAACCAGCTCACCAGCATTTCTGCAAACACATTCATAGGCCTGACTGCGATGACAGCAGTGTAAGCAAGCACACTTAAATGCACGTATTGGATTTGCCTCTTACTTTGTGGTACTTTGCAGGGCTTTGAATGGCAATGCCTTCACCACTTTGCCGCCCGGTTTGTTCAAGGGTCTGCGAAATGGCCTGTATTTGGCGGACCCTTCATCCTTTGCCCTGAGCCCCAACAACTTTACCTTTGGTGGGAACAATGTCGCTCCGCCCAGCACATACGGCAGTGCAGCCACTCCAAGACGTAAGTTCTGATGAGTGCAATCCGTATATGGATCGTTTCACTGATCTCTACATGGCAGAGTGCGATACAGCCTGCGCTACCTGCTATGCTGCTGGGTCTGGTGCGTGTTGCGGGATTAATTGTCTGATTTGTAATTCGTCCGATCCCTGTACCGAGTGCTACGATGGTTTTGTGATGCTGAGTGGATCCTGTGTTTCGCTCGCTTCCATCGCCTCCATCGCGTCCACGCAATCTGCCTCGGCTGCCTCTGTTGCTTCCATCGCTTCGGTCGCATCCACACAATCTGCCTCAGCTGCCTCTGTTGCTTCCATCGCTTCGGTCGCGTCCACAAAATCTGCCTCGGCTGCCTCTGTTGCTTCCATCGCTTCGGTCGCGTCCACACAATCTGCCTCGGCTGCCTCGATTGCATCCGATGCATCCGCTGCATCGACGCTGTCGGCGTCCTTTGCTTCACTCGCTACGGCATCTTCTGCCTCTATCGCATCTGCTGCAAGCGCGTCGTTTGCCTCTGCTGCTTCCGATGTTTCTGCTACTTTGGCATCTGCTGCTTCCCGCGCTGCTGCGTCATCCGCGTCAATCGCATCACAAATGTCCGCATCAGCCGCCTCCGATGCTTCCGCTATTTCGGCCTCCGTTGCTTCCCTTGCTACTGCGGCTTCTGCATCTCAGGCGTCTGCATCTGTCGCCTCTGATGTTTCCGCTGCCTCGGCGTCCCTTGCTTCCATCGCGTCTGCATCTTCAGCTTCCATTGCTTCACTCGCTGCAGCATCTTCAGCGTCAATTGCATCTGCTGCCAGCGCGTCGTACGCATCTCTCGCTTCAGACGTTTCCGCCACCTCGGCGTCCTTTGCTTCTCTCGCTGCTGCGTCCTCTGCTTCAATTGCCTCACAGGCGTCCGCATCAGCCGCCAGTGCTTCATCTGCATGGCAGACGTCTGCTGCATCTGCTGCGTCGAATGCTCCAAAAAGTTCAAGTGACTCAGATTCATGGCCGATTATTCTCGGAGTCATTCTTGGCCTGTTAGCCCTCATCTTGTTGGCTGCGCTGGTTGTGGCTCTTCGGCGTCGCCGCTCACCAAAGGCATTGGCCACCACCAGCACGGCCACCAAACTGCGCGAATCCGCAACCGGCTCAGAGCCGACTTACCAGTCGGTTGATTCCAGCAACACTGTGTCCAACGTTGTGAATCCAACCTATGCAGCATTGTCTGGCACTGACAACCATGCTCTGTATGAAGATGTTAGCTCAGCGCGCCTGGCCCCTGTCGGTGCGTCGGAACAGGTGTATGCCGAAGCATCCAGTACAACACAACCGTCAGGTAGCAGTGGCATCGAGTACGCCGATCCTTCGCTGCCCAGCGCCTCATCCGTTCGTGCGCAGTCCGCGTCCTCACCAACTTTTTATGCGACGGTAGCTGCTGTACCATCCGAGCAGACCTACGAAGCTGTGTCTGCAACTGGCGCGGATACTTTGTACGAAGATGCCGGCTCAAAGCCCCAGGCTCCTGTTGGTTTATCGGAACTGCAGGATACTGACGCAGCCGTGTCTGCATCCGGTGTCGAGTACGCCAATCCTTCGCTGCCCGATCCCTCGTCTGTTCGTGTGCCAACCGCGTCCTCACCAACTTCTTACGCGACGGTCGCTGTTGCCCCTTCCACGCAGACCGGGAATGTCGACTACGCGTCTATGGCAAACTAGCAATCGAGCGGTGTTGCATTGCGCTGTTCGACATGTCTTCCAGATTTGCATGTTCTGAAATTCGATTGTTCCAATACCCAATTCAATAGTTTGACAGAAATGAACATTCAATCAACTCTTGAGTTGTGCTCAACGTTTTTGCAGCTGCGCAGAGTCTGTTCTGTGTCTTACTGTTGCAGAATCAAGTGATAAAGGACCCGGCAGCGAAATACCACCCACATCGTTTGGTTCGCAATCGGAGCTTTCGTTGTTATTGATTATTGTTTTTCCCAAAAAACATTGAGAATCTTGGACGAGCGGGGGGGGGGGTTTCATCACAATAAAAAATTACTCAATACACGACTTTTTCCTCACACACACACACTCACACAAAGCAAACATATCCCTCTAGCACACGGAAAAGTCGTACAACTTGACCGTCGTATCGTAGGAGCCCGACACAATTCTGGAATCGTTGAATTGAAGACACGTAACGCCGTCAGTGTGGTGCCGGAGGGTAAGCATGCGCTGGCCAGCTAGCAGATTCCAGACCTTGAGGGTCTTGTCATCGGCCGCGCTGACCATGCGCCACGAGTCAAACTGCAAATGTCGGACGACGCCAGTGTGTCCTTCATTCCGGACCCAGTCGAGCGTCCCCATGCACAGCCCTGTGGTGATGTCCCAAAAGCGGAGACTCGAGTCCAACGAGCCCGAGACAATCTTGCTCTCGTCAAACTGGAGACAGGTCACGGCATCGTCGTGCCCAGTCAGAGTGCGGAGACACTGGCCGGTCTTGGCGTCCCACACTTTGATGGTCTTGTCCATCGAGCCTGAAACAATCTTGGTATGGTCGAGGTGGACACACAACACGGCAGCCGAATGGCCACGCAGCGTCAATTTGCACGAGCCAGAGCGCCAATCCCACAGCTTGAGCGTTGTGTCGTAGCTGCCGCTCACAACGCGGTCGCCGAGTACGCGCAAGCAACGGACCGTGTCGGTATGACCAAACATGGTGACCTTGCATGTGCCAGTACTGAGATCCCACACCTTGATGGTGCGATCGCTGGAGCCACTGAAAAGGGTGGTGCCGTCGAGGTGCAGGCAGCGAACCGTGCCCAAGTGACCGTGCAGGGTCATGGCAGCTTTGGTGTTGGTGCGAATGTTCCAAACGCGAATCGTGCGGTCGGTGGAGCCGCTGACGATGCGTACGTGGTCGAATTGCAGACAAGAGATGCCTTGCGAGTGACCCTCAAAGGTGCGCACAGTGTAGCGACCATTGAGCCAGTTGCGCCTCAGCCGGTACCGTTCGGCAAAGATGAGCTTCCATGCCACGACAATCTCGCCGCCAAGCTCGGGCGACGGATGCGAGTAATGCTGAAGCTGGCGCTCGCGCTCTTCGGCGCTCACCCATCCTTCGCTCTTTCGACAGTGCTCCATCCAGAGGCTCGAGTCGGAGGCGAGATGCTCCCACGCGCGGCTCACCTGAGACGCTCGACACAGAGACGTTACGTCCAGATACGACAGAATGCGCATGGAAATGTCCACCGGCAACCATGCGAGAATGTCTTGACAGTTGTGCGGGCAGTGCTTGTGCATGCGTGGCTCCATCTGAACGGACAAAAAGTGGACCTGTGACGGCCCGCTCTGCTCAATGAGCATGCGCAGCAGCGTGTTGCGCTGAATGTCGTTAAAGTCCTCAAACCACTCTGAGATTTTTTGAACGCGCTTCCGCACAATTTGACCAGTGACCGCATCGCCGCGCGCCGAGTGATGCGACTTGATGGATTGGAGGGATGACGACTTTGTGAGGTGCTGTCGCGAGCTGGACGTGGCACTGGCAGGAAGATGGGTCGGTGCTTGGAACACTGAAGCAAGCGATCCACCACCAACGGCAGCAGCAGCAGCAGCTGCCGATGCAGCAGTTTCGAGCCGGTTGGTTGAGATGGCAAAGGATACCGAGCTGTTCGAAGCAGCTGAGGTCATATTAAGAGGGGCAAACGAGTTGGCCGAGTGGGCAGTGTGCTGCAACTGGTGTTGTTGCGACTGGTGTTGTTGCGACTGGTGTTGTTGCAACTGGGCTTGTTGCACCTGCGGCTCGGAGGACTGCTGTTGGTGCCACGCTGAGACTACCGGCTGATTCTGCGATGAAGGAAGCGAGACAGTCCTCGACACAGAGTCGTGCGGCAGCCTCATCAGCACGGCCGAGAAGGAGCGCATGCCGACGGTCGCGGGCGTTGGGGTGGTCGCTTCTTCATCGGCAGACTTGATGGGCGACATTGGAGGGGTGGGAGGCGGAGATGAGCTCGGGGCGAGGGCAAGCGGGGTGGGAGGGCCCGACGGAGGAAGCTGAGTGAGGTTTGCGGTGCCGTGACCAACGTCCAAGGTCGAATTCGAGTGGCTGGCAGCGTCGCGCTGAAGCCTGAGTTGCTGCTCAATCTCTTGCTGGAGATGGAGAAGATCCGAGTAATGCACCGTCGGGAACTCTGGCGATGCAACGTTGCTGGAACCAGGTGGCAATGGGGGCGCAATCAACGGAGCGTCGTTCGCGGCGGGGTTGACGCCATCGAGATCGTCCAAATCGTCCAAGTCCGAAGGGTTTTCCGCAACCCAAGACGCCGGCAGCTGACGACGTGATCGATGTTGCGGCGCAAACGTGGTGGTGAAGGGATCATGCACGTGCGACGCCCAGGAGTTGGCCGCAGAAGGCGAGCTCGAACCGGCCTTTCCACTACGGCCAGGACTTCCCGGAGGTTGATAGGCCTCCATCCAAGAAGCGCGCGGAGACAAACGCTGTTGATGTTGTTGTTGTTGTTGTTGTTGTTGTTGTTGTTGTTGTTGTTGTTGTTGTTGTTGTTGTTGTTGTTGTTGTTGTTGTTGTTGTTGTTGTTGTTGTTGCAGCTGCTGCTGGTTTTGGCGTTCGACAAAGAAGGCCCCGTTCGCGCCGCTGCTCCGACCAAGGCTGGTGTGAATGGATTGCATGTGCTTGGTTGGGCGAATGAGAACCGACGAAGAAGCGCCCAATGAGGCATTTGGAGACGACGGTGACGTCGTACCCGTGCCTGTTGGCGAATTGGCGCCAGTATTTCCCAGACTGCGCTTGGCGTTGCTGCTGCTACGACGCTTTTTCCGCTTGCCAGATGCGGACGACGGGAATGACGAAGGAAAGGCAGAGCTGGCCGTGCCATTGACCCCAGAAGCCGAGTTGGCCGCGAGAGGATTCGAGCCGCTGCCCGCCAAGTTGGACGAAGCGGACGACGGGGCGCCTTCGCTGGCTGCTCGTTGCGCGGCCACAGCTGCTGCAGCGCCCATGGTGACGGCCACCAAATCTGGCAGGTTACTGGAGGAGCCAGTGAGCGAACCCGTGCTGGCAGCACTACCTGCACTGGTGACGCTGGTGATGCTGGCGATGCTCGGTCGGCGAGAATTGATGGCGTTGAAGGACGGATGGATGGCGGATGCCGGTACTACTACGGCGGGGTGAATCGCAAGACCGGCAGCCGAGGCAGTGGTCGTGGTCGAGGCAGACGCGCCAGAAACGGTCGAAATGAGCGACGCAGTTGACGTCCACACGGTGGCGTCGAACGGCGACCGCCGGCCTGGACGGGCGCCCTGGGCTTTCAAGGGACAGGAGGTAGAGTGTCTACGTCGGTTGTGGCGGCGCATCACGGCTGGAGGCACATCCGCAGTAGTGGCACAGCACAATGGGCAATGGCAATCCTCGTCGGCGTCATCGTCTGTCGGGTCGGGGTCGTCACTGTCGGCTGGGCCTGGGCCGGCCGTGCCATCTCTACCGTGCCTGCTGCCACTTGCAGCCGAGTCCGTGTTTGTCCAACTTGCCGAGTCAAACCGATACTTGAACGCACGCGAATGCTCGTTGAGCTCGGATCCCGACAAACCAGAGTCGCTCGTGTTTTCCTCGCTGTCGCTGCTCTCGTCCGCGCCAGCGCGAGAAAAGAACTGGACGGGCGGCGATGGGCCCAAGAGATGCTGCGGCATGGTGCTCGCCAAGGCCGGAGGCAGCTGGGTGCTGAGCGACGGGACGGGGAATGGGAGCGGCTGGGCGACAACCACCGGAGCCGCAATGCGCGGAGACGGCCGTGTGGTCGGCTTGAGAAAGTTGGCGCTCGCCAGCGTCGGACTGAGCGCAGTCGACAGCGTCGGATACGCCTGGACGGACGCGACGACTGCGGCGGGCACCGGTTGAGCAACCGCAACAACAATTTGCTGCTTGCGCTCGGCCTTGCGCTGCTTGGACAAGAAGGACGGCTTTTTGCTCGAGGTGTCTGTGCTACTACTTGGGCTCGGACTGTCTGTACTCGCAGAGGCATTCGTTGTGGTGGACGATGCATGGTTGCTGCTGCTACTGCCATGGCCGGCAATGGTGTTGGCGGCGCTTGAAACACCCATGACGATGAGCCGCTTGACCTTGTACGCAGCCTCGGCGCCAATGCTGCCTGCGCGCGCGAGCACAGGCGACGACGACGACGACGACGGTGGCGCAGACGGCCCACCACTCGTCGACGCTGAAGTCGAGGTGGATGCCATCGCCGTCGTTGTTGTCGTGGTTGTCGCTGTCGGCGGGGCGGTCGTTCGAGATGCTTGTTGCGAACTGCTCGCCTGTCGTGCCGCTGCTGCAGCTGCAGCCGTGGTTGTAGCGGGGACAGTCCCACCACCACCGCCGCCACCAGCAGGCAACGACGACGAGGACGATGATGAGCTGTGCACCATGTTTGTCGCCTCAGCGAAAGGGGGAGGGAGAACAAGCAGACCACTGAAAATAACCTGAGAATTACAATAAAAAAACAAACAAAAAAAAAAAAAAAACTGGATTGAGCTTTGCGTCAGGTCGAATTGGACACCGTGACGATCAACACTGGCAGGGCCGATCTCGGTACATGAAGGGGATGCCGTTTGTATGTGTGTGTGTGTGTATGTGTGTATGTGCATGTGCAGGTTGGTTGGTTGGGAAGCAGACGAGTTGAATCAAGTCAACCAAAATCGCAGTTTTCGATGGATTTGGGCAGCGAGCAGGATGGAAATAGCAACCAAACGTCACCGTTTTGCTTCTTCGCTCTCGAGGACTGTGCTCTCAGCATCCAATCTTCTACCTCGACATGGACTGCACACAGAGCAGTTGTCCTCTCTTTGAGGGTCCGGCCGCTTTTTGTGCGTGTCCGGATCGTCTTTTCCGCGGATTTTGCCGTTCTTGACTGATGCAGCTGTCAAGACTTGTTCGGATTTCTGTGACCTGTCAAACACCGCAAGTCGGTGTCGAGTTCTTTGTCTCAAGTTCTTTGTCCCCAATCGAGTTCACTCCACCCTTTTCTTCTTTTCTTTTGCCTTGTCATTTCAGTTTTTCTTTTTTCACGCTTTTTCAGAACACGGTTGCATTGCGTGCAACTCGCCCAAACAAACAAACAAACAACCATGGCCGTCACTGCCGCTCCTCGGTCTGCCAAGAACGACAACAACAACAACAACACTAGCAACAACAAACAATAACAACAATGACAATGAAAATCAAGGCCAGACGTATGCTGTCGCACCAGATCGGCGTCGCGCGACTCGAGTGGTTTTTGGCCACAAACGGTTTTGCAACCAAGCCGTCGTCGGCCCGATCATGGGCGTCTTGGGCCACGCCTGAACCCATGCCATCCCGATCAGGTGGTGGACGGCATCAGGTGGGAACGCAAGGTGGGGAACCACGAGAGTATTCTCGAGGGTAAAACTGTGAGGGGCCTAAACAGGGGGAGGACACCAATACAGTTGAAAAGAACGATCAGCTTGGAGCCGCGCAGGGTCGAGCCAGCTCGGGGGGTAGATCATACGAGACCGAGAAACCTATTTAGATGTAATCATGCGTTCGTGATTGCCACCGCTGTTTGATATGTCATGAGCGTCTGACTGTGCTAACAGGTGAGCAGGAGCTGGAGGGGAGGTGAGCGGACGGAAGCGAAAGAAGGGACTTTGAGGCCACCTGGAGAAGCGAATTTGTTG